ACCAAACAGGCACCAACTGGTCATCGGCGGCTTGTGTAACAGGCGCGCATGCACGCACACTACGTTTTGTAAGTTGGAGTTGTGTAACCAAACTCCTTGAGATTTGCACATCTGGTTTTCATTCGCGGTCCCTCACATGCACGCACACCTCCGAATTGAGCATTGACGCGCTGGTGAATGTGGCGATGATCTGATCATACCGCCGGCACGCCGATGGCTAAGGCATGCAACGTAAATCAGCCTTGACTACAGGATCTTTTTGGGCGTTTTTATTCATATTTCCTTGAACTTGTTCTCTCTCTCTTGGCTTGAATTTCGGCGACGCCAAGCGCTGTAGATCAGGCTTAGAAATGGCTGTCCACTGCTGCGAGTTCTGCCGGTTTAGCACGTGGGGACACAGTCTGCAAGACAAAGAAAGAGAGGTTAAATTCCACTCTGCGCTGATCTATTTATCGGCCGCTCTAAAACAACATGATGTCGACTTCACCCAAAATGATTGCGACACAACCGCAAGCTAGCACGTCAGGCAAATGTTTTGGAGGCGGGAGGAAGGTCAGCGCAGCGATCTGCCAGATCGCTCTCCCTATGATAGAATTACTCAATTATTCATGCGTACACATGCTCCAATTTGTCTTTTGTGAGAAAACTACTCTGTCTTTAGATGCGCAATGAAACATCATGTGCTTTGGGAGAGAATACGGCAAATAAAAAGAGATCCTTTTTAGTCAAGCCTCCACAAAAATGAGAACATTGAATTTCCCGTTTTTTTTTTAATCCAAAATCAATGAATTGGTGTTCAATTCACTGTTCATCTTTGTTACTAAAATTTGCGATTATTATTTCAAAAAAAAAAATGAAGTTGCAAATGCCAACTTACTAATTCTGTGATGCTGGTCCACATTACCACAGTGACCTAAAAAAAAAAAAAGCAAAGGAAGAGCAAATTTGAAAATGGCAGCAGCCTCAATGCTAGGTTTGTTCATAGCACAAAAAAAAGTGCTATGGCAACTATTTTTAGAATAACCCTTTTGAACAACAATACACAATTGATATTGCGATACAATCATAAGATGTTTTTTTTGTATGTTTTTCAAGTGCACGAATACATACTGTAGGTAGGGAAGGGGAAAAGGAATGCCAGGCCTAAAGCTTGCTTTTCAGCAAGTTGCTCAAACTTGGTCAGCAATGGTTCGGATAGATTGTCAACCGACCTGCCTGAATAGAAGACACAAACGGTATGAACGGGAAAACGAGAGCAAAGCATTTGCTTGCGGGTACTTGCTGCCTTGAACTTTCAAATCGGGTTGCGGAGCTCACCGTAGAGTTTCATGGTGATCTGGCCTCGTTTCTGATAATACATGATAGCATAGGAGTTGTAGTCCGTCTCTCCGATCACAATATCGGTGTTCAGCTCGGGTCGAGGTCCTAGCGGAAGGGATCATGTTTGATCCAAGATATTGGACTACTTTCCATCACTTTCAAAGTAACCGTGACAGTAGAAACCTGGTAGCATCATCCGTCCCGGGGTGGGGCTCAAACGGTACATCTGCAATATCTCCCAACACTGATGATTACTGCAGAAGGACAAACGCACTTCGGTGAGAGCGCTTCACTTTTTGTTTTGACAGCTGCACTCACAACAGAGCTGACAAATGCTGCCTCTCAGCGGTACTCCTCGGAAGTCGCTGAGTTGGAAGTAAAAAAAAAAAAAAAAAAAAACAAACAAAAAAGAGCCGCGAGAGATTAAGGAGCTTGCTTGTTTCTCTCAGTGTACTTACTGCCGTGTCTTGGTGCTAACCATCAGCGACTGGTCCGACGTGGTGTCTAGTGTGAGGGTCATGACCGTCGGTTCCACTTTGGTGCCGTGATTGATGAGATAGGAACATTTGGAAGCAGTGTTGAGCAAGTACCACGTCCCTATCATCTGAAACCCAAATGATGTAGAACCTTGTGCATAATGCCAATCATAAGGTATTTCAGCATATTCCACAACTGTATTCGTCAACTTCCTTCCGCTAAGTTCTGAAAGATCACATCAAACGTATTCTTACGCTAGATTGAGTTAAGTTACAGCTTACATGCGGTGATAGATGTGTTGCGTTAAAAACAAAATTGTCCAGGCACCCTATTGACACAGGTTACGCAAGCGCGTTCTTTTTGCCAGACCCGGTGTTGACCCCCGACGAAGTAAAGTGCACATTTGATCGCTCCTGTCAAAGTTGTTTTCTTTTGTTGGACACCACTGACGCTCCAACTGAAGTGGAACAGCTGCCAAGCTGGAAATAATCTTCACTGTTAGTCTTGGGCGCAGGATAAAACTGAGTTGCACTTTTTTTGGGGAACAACAATCTCTCTTCTACAGAGACGATTTAATATCATGTTGTTGGGGGGGGGGGGTTTAGTGAGCAAAGGTCAAAGACAAAAGCGGTAACATTTGCGATATTCATCAAATCAGCTCTGAGTCTATTCGGGGGATGATCTTTTTTTTTTGCGACCCATAAGAGCTCAATCCCCACCATTTTCAACTCTAAACTGGCATTTCACCAGTACCGTACCTGCTGTATGTCTATATTCTTCTGAGGAGGCGTCAGATCTACAGGGTCGACTATTGGCTTCTTACGAGGTCGTCTTTTGGGTCTGGGCCGACTCTTTGCGCCACCTACGGCCTCGGTAGCTGCCCAGAGACACACAAACATCAATAGCGCCAGGGTTAGCGTGCACCTCCAAACTCCTGCCATCTTCCTCTTCGTCTTTGTTTTGATTTGTTTGTTTTGTTTTTTTCGAGTTTCCTTTTTCTGTCCTCTTCCTGTCTTCCCGGTGTGGCGTGTCCGCAGTCAGGCACTCAAAATGAATAAAACAGATCGTGCAAGAGTGTGTCCAAAGAGGATGACATGTTCAGTTACATATTAACCCAGATGGGATCCTGCTGCATGAGGTTCTCGACACCAGAGTGCAGTATTCACCCCGGTAGCAGTTTAAAAGTCAACTATAGAACATAGAGAGCAACTATCCATTTATTCATACAAAAGGATCGGCAAACCTCATACAGGTGAGGTCAATTGCACAACAAAAAAAATCAAGCAGAGTCAGGAAAAAATAGCTGCAATCACATCCAAGAGTTTTTTTTTTCATTCAAAGTACATTAAACCAATTGTCAAACTTCACCGACGAGTGTGTAGAAATATGACAAACCTAAGACAGAATGAGAATGAGAATGAGAGTGACTCTCATCGAGTGACGCAAACAAAACCACACAAAAAAAAGAGCTTGTACTTTGTCCCCAAAAATCTCTCCTTAGTTGCCTGGGAAATGACACACGAAAAGCAACTTTGCCGTAAGTGACGCGCAAGCCCGGATGGCGTATCAGTTTTCTTCCATCTTGCCAGGTTGGTTGTCGTCTCGAGGTTTAAAGTTGAGGGCCGCGCTGTTAATACAGAAGCGCTGACCCGTCGGGTCTGGCCCATCCTCAAAGATGTGGCCCAAGTGGGCATCACACTGCATGGAAAACACAACGACAATATGCTTTAGAAAGAGTGTGCGGAGCGCCTCAAACTAGCCAGACGTCCAAGAGGAAAGGACAACTGACGTTTTTACAAATGACCTCGACGCTCGCGCTCCCCAGGCTGTTGTCGGAGCGTCGAATGATAGAGGCGTGGCTCTCATCTCGCTCCCATGTGCCGTGAGCCTCCTTGAAAGCCGGCCAGCCTGTCCCCGAGTCATACTTGGCTTCTGAGCTATCAAGACGGTTGCAAAGCAAATTTCAAAGTCCAGTCCGTTGCAAGGTGAATTTCAAAATGGTGCACTTGGACAACCAAGTTTTACCTGAAGAGTGGAGAATCACAGCAGACACAGTGGTACATCCCCATTTCATAGTGGTTCAGGTATATCCCGCTAAAGGGCTAGGAAGGAACGGGTGCAAGCGTACGCGGTTATCCAGAGATGGAGAGAGAAACCATGCAACCAAATCAACTGAGAGGACCGAGTAGTTTTTCAAATGACACTCATTGGACACTTCATGAGAGAGCGCATCCAGATTGTCTCCATATTAGCACGGGTTTGACACCCGTGATTACCGTTGATTCGAGCAAAGCAGAAATATTCACGTTTCTAAGAATGATATCGACACCTCCCGAAATATAAACATATTGCTGCGGAGTCCTACCAATCAAAACTGAGCTTGTTAAACTTTTCTAGGTTTAATGTATGTATGCGATTTGTATCGCATTATCCGTGTCATGAATTGCGGGAGCTAATATGCTGAGAATATATGTGACTGTTGACTAATCCTCTCCTCAGAGTCATTCCACAAAGAGACAATCGTAAAATTGTCTGTAGTTCGGAAGTTATTTTCACTTGGGAATCTGCCACTTTTTTGTAGCCTGATGAGCAGGTGAGGCAGAGCGCCCCCCCGCCCCCTCCCCCCAAAACAGTCTGTGTTACTCACCACCTCAGTTCCCCTTTCTCTCGTCACCACATATTGCTCAGGAGAGAGTTTCTTTTGCCAATCCGTAGTCGCATTATAGCGGGTGAGAGATTTCGGGCCTGAAGAGAGAGCGGCGCAATGACTGAAAATGAAGCTCAACTCTACGATACGTCTCATCCATTGAGGATCATGAATCAAAGTGGTTGGCATTTTTCAATGACGGTGTAGGTACGTAGGAGTAGTGATTGCCGAGTTCCCTACCGTTTCAACTCCAAAAGGAATGACGTCGCACATGCGCCGAGTTTACGAGAACCCCTCAAATGTGATCATAAGAGCCAACTGACCTGGACTTGTGTGTACCGGGCGCAAAGTCGGCATGCTCCGCGTTGACAGTGACGGTGCGGCTCGCAAGTGCTTCGAAACAGCGATGCAAGCGACGAGGCGAGACATGCTTCTTGCAAGTGCGCAGGTCCTTGGTGTCTCGATACCGCTGAAAGGCAGCACTGCTCCTCCGCCGGCTGCTCCTGCCTGTTAACCGGGTGACCCTTTCAAAAAGTCCAACTTTCTACAATCTAGGTCAAAGTGGACTGGGTTCACTCCTTTTAATTGCTGGCCAATGTCCAAAGCCGACAAGGTTTATTGATATTTAGATATGGTGGATAGCTGACAGAACCATTTCCATCATGTTTATGACATTTACAATCCCACGTCTTTTGTTTTTTTGCCAAATGCCGACTTTTAATTTAGTCAGACAATGCTCTCTTCAATTCCATTTCTCTCCTTGGCATTTTAAATCTAGCAGTACAGTACGCCTAATTTGGAACACTTGTTTCCTTTAATAGCTTCTGCAATTTAAACCTTCAAATCCATCACATTTTTTGCACAAATATGAACTGCAGGCAAGATTTTTTTTGTTTTTTTTTTGCGTTTTATCCATCCATCCATCTTCAACACCGTTCATCTGAACAGGGTCACGGGGAGTTGCTGAGGCCTTTCCCAGCTGACTTTGGGCAGACGGTGGACGACACCTTGGACTGGTCGCCAGTTAGCCGCGGGGCACATCTAGAGACATCAACGACCATTCACTCACTGAATGGGAACCGAGTCAGGCGAGTGGACCGGACGCCATCTACGACTTTGTTTATTGTGTAACTAACCTTGGCCAAGATTTCACAAAACCTTATCTGGGGATGTTTATCTACAAAAAAAAAGATGACATATTAAAAGGTGTTTTTTTTTCTAACCAATCATGGCAGCCACTTCTTCCCGCTTTTTTTGGAACGTGTTGCAGCCATTTACAAAAAACAATAATGCTCATCGGTTTGAACATTAAATACCTGCTCTTTGTCGGGTATGCATATGATTTGCAAATGTTTTCATTTGTTGAACGCAACTACATCGGAATTGGGCTTGTATTTTATGAGCTACATCGACAACTATCAATCATCTTATTGTTACCGGGTCTTAATTCTGCATATATTAGAGATCCTATCATGCACAGGCTTAGAAAAACACACTGAAGTTCCGGTAAAAAAGTGAAAAGAAATGTTTAAAAAAGGGCTAGTAGGTACTCCAGTACTTCTAAAAGCTGCGATGCTCTATATCCCGTGGTATCGGAATGCGGCAGGTGTATGGGACTTGAAGAAGGTTCCAGGCTGGTGCATGAGGTCCACAATGTAGCGACATGGCTGTGAAGAAGGTTGATTGCCGGAGCGATCGCCATCGTGGAGTAGGACTTCGTTCCAAGCTCGATTGTAGTCACCTCGCACCAGAGTGCAACTCAGGCCAATGCAATCAGCCAAGTACTGCATAGGCGGTACAGGTGTCAACGGTTACAAGGAGGAGAACAATGGATGAGTCCGGAGGGGCGGGCGCTTCACCTTGAAAAGCAGAGCCCGGTGACAGTAGAATCCCTTGCTGATCAGGCCAATGGGAAGCACGTTACACTGCAGCTCGACTTTGAGGAGGGAGATGTGCAGTAGCCATCCGAAGGTGTGCAAATCTTCTTTCTCAATTGCTCCGCCCATGACTTTGCTGACTCGCCTGTTCAGAAACCCCGGAGACCGAAAGCATTGCATTGACACGCCGCACTTATTCCGTTCAACAAAGTTGAACAATGAGTTAACTACCTGGCCAGGGCTACGTAGCGTTCCTGTTCGCCGTTCAAAAGAGAGATGGATTCTTTCACCTCCTTCACTAAAAACCTCAAAGCCACGTCATTCATCAACTTCCAGTATCTCTCGGTTTGTTGCCCTTCCTCCGCACTTTTTGCATGGATATACACCCTGGCGTAAACATTGGCGATTCGTTGTTGAAAGCTTCCACGGACAACAGAGGTACAAGAGAGAGGAGAATACGTACTCGATCGCTGAATTGACAACTATGACGGGCAGATGTTCGTTCACTGGCTCCATGGACAGTTCCACTAAAGTCAAAACTTTCTGACCAAAATACAACTGAAAGATACACCTAGGAGTGAGGTTCCAACGTCCCTAATCGTGACTGGGTTTCCCAAATGGAAAAGTGAAAGAATAAACACCAACACACCTTCCCAGCGTCATAGAAGCCATCAGTGATGAGATCGGTTGTGGCCAAATGATCTGTCAAGCCGTATTTGAGAGAGAGGCTGGATTGCAGCAGACTGTTGAAGGCAAACTCGCTGAACTTACTCCTACTACTGTCCGCCTGGTTGATTTCATTCAGCATTTCCAGGGCACTAAAGCACAAACACACACAAACGTGCAACGCTGATGGAGGTGCTTTGATGCCTTCGGTCTGCTGGCATGCACAAACAGGTGAAACTGACAAGTAAAAGGGGAGGAAAAATGTCAAAAATGAATAACACGACTCGTTTTGTTTGTCAGTTAGCCATGCACGGTGGCGAGCGGTCAAGGCCTTATCTGCGGACCTCAACACTATCAGACACACTGACCTACATTCGCAACCTGAGATCTTTTACTTGTTTCACAAATGTATTCATTTATTCCCAACAGTTTTTCATTGACTAGCCACCCTCTTGATTGCACTCATGCAAGTACTGTTTCAAGTCCCAAAAAAAAAAAAAATCCAATGTGATATCTTTTATATCCTGAAAAGTGGACAAAAGTTTTTAAAAAAATGCAACTTTTTCAAAGCACTGTATGTGCCCCAAAGTATTTGGGACACCTGAATTATAATCACTGAAAATATAGAATTGTTTTGAGCATCTCACCCAAATTTGCACATCTCTACGGAGGTGGGCTCATCCTTTGCACAAACACTGATTGCCATGCATGCGGTGCGCAACACCTCCATGTTGGTGGAACGCAGCAAAGTGACCAATGGCTCCAGACCGCCAGCACTCTGGAGCTACGGTGGACAAGATCGACATTTTAGTCGCACGTCTGCGTTCCGCTTTAGTCGATAGTAGGAAAATTTTATAGATACCGGTCATAGTCGAATGCCTCAAAAGTGTCCCTTTGGAGTCAATAAAATACGCCTCAAAAGGGAAACTCAACTTGACAGTGAACAGTCACCGTGCGAGACTGAAAGCTCATGAGACTTCCGCTGACGGAGCAGCTCATGACTTTGCTGTACCAGATCATTAATAATAACAAATGCAGCTCATTCAATTCGAACTGTGTCGAAAACGTCACAAAAGGAAGGCCAAGAATTTGCAGCCCTATAATGAAGTGTTCCGCAATATTCTCTCCTTTTTCGAGACACACTGATGAACGTCTCTTTCAACTTGCATGGCGGTCGAGATTGGCTAAACGGCAAAATCACCTGCGCGCGTTGATCAAGGCTGTATCATGCTGGCAGTTTTTAGCCTGGGGCAAAATCATTCCAAACGACAACGTCAACTCTACAAGGGCGCAGAAGTGCGCCGATGCACGGAAAGACAAACCTGCGTCCTGGCGTCGGCATCAGACGCCAGTTCACAGATGCACAATGCGGCGTGAATGAGGACCTGCGGGTCTGTCGATTTTAAGGGCTCCACCAATGCAGGTATGGCCCCCAGAGATAACAAGTCGTAGCGAACGGCCTCCTGACCCGCTATCCTGTAAAGTATGGCGGCAGCATTGGCCACTGTTCGGGGACAGCTGTCATGGAGACACTGCACAAGAGGCTTCTGCCCTCCTTCTTCATATATTGTCCTAAGGATGGCATGGAGATAAAAAAAAAAAAAGCAACAATGCCATTCTTGTCAACAATCATGCAAAGCAACGGTATAGCCAGATTGTCTCTTACATCGAGTTTTGCTGGTGATCGGCTGTCAGGTTGGCAAGGGCCTGGATGGCTTCCCCTCTCACCAGTAAATGTCCACTGCTCAGTAAATGTATCAAAGCAGATAAACCACCTGAATGGGAGGCGGGGGGGAAAGTCAACCAAATTTCCTGCTTCATAATTGCAGTAAGAATGTTAATGGTTCCATGTTTTTTGTAAAGACCTATTTCTCTGAAGCGTTCTTTGCTGGATAAGAAGGAGCTCATGCCGGCCATGGCTTGAGAAACAAACATTTTCACGCAATCGCTGCTGCCAGAGAGAAGCTCCACCAGAATGTCCTCAATTTCGATGTCGTGGAGAACTTTGTGATTGTTGGCTGAACACGCATAGGCATGAATGCACGCATACGCACAAAGAGATGAGAAACGAGACACGAGACAGTCGGAACACTACCTAGGAATGTATTGCTTCACTGCATGTTTCTGTGCTTACCGTTTTGAGCAGCTCGAGAGAGGCATTCAACAGCACTGCACTGGACTTCATTATTGTTGCATTTAACGAGAGGCAATTCATGTTTTTTGCCCGTTTCAGAAAGTTTAGGGGGAAGGACAAGCTCAAATAGTGTCGTTAGTCCTCCTCCATTCTCAATCAGCAGGAAATTGTCACTATCACTCACGCAATTAACAAGAACCTGCAAAGCCTCAACATGAAGGTCATTGAAATCCTGCAAGACAAAGCGTTCAGAGCAAAATGTTTCAAGCAAATATCATCGACGTTGTTTAAAAAAAAAATCAACACAAACACGTGCCACGAAAAGAAAGAAGTGAACAAAATACCAACCGCGTTTTTGATGATATCTAAGAGCTTCTCAAATCCCTGCTCTTTCCTCATTGCGCTGTATGACTCTTTATCAGCCGTGACTTTCTGTAAAATGTTTAAAGCCAAGTGCTGAATGACGGCGTAGTCCGAATGGAGCAGCTCCAGAATGAAAGGGATGCCGCCCAACTCCAGGACATATGGGCAGAATTGGCTGCTCTTCATTGCCGTGGTAGGCCAGAGGAAAAAAAAAGAAATGAAAATAGCGTTGCCGCAATTGGAATCGTGCAGCTTGGTGCATCGGAACATTCCAATTTGTGTGGTGCCCCCCTGCACTGCACTCGTGCCTTAAGATATTGGTACTGACCTGAACCAAGTTGTAGATGGTCTCCAGAGCGTTTTTCTGAATATCCGGTTCTGTACTCGAAAGCAGCTTGATTAATGCCGGCAGGCCTTTGTTGTCAAAGATCTGAACCTTGGAGGCCGGAGCCAGGGACAGAAAGGAGAGGCACAGGGCTCCGTACTCTTGAATAACCAAATCTTTTGGAAAGAAAAGGTACAATGAATGACCAAGCATCGTACGTTGCTGGAGAATAATGAACCATGTAAATTTCAGCAAACTAACCGTCAAGGGAGAGTTTGTCAATAATCGTTGGAATTATATCTATTTGTTGTAGGGCATTGCCGACAGCACCTTTGTGCGACAATGCAAATGAATCCGGTTAATTCTTTGAGCGAGGCAAAACACGTCACGACACAAAAGAGGAGTTCTGAAACAACCGTTGAATGTGTCAAAACGGCAACAACACAATCACAAAGCTAGTCAATCGTAAGCAAGTGTGCGCGAATGATCGGGCAAATGCTGTTTGCACGTACTGTTGGAGGCCATGGTGCCCAAAACCATGAATGCATTTCGTCTGATCAGCTCATTCGTGTGTGTGATGAGTCGACTGAGAGGCTGCAGGACGCCGAGTTCCATAAGATAAACCTTGTTCCCATCTGACAGCAGGGGGAGACAAGCGACCAGGAAAATTAGCGCGCGTCGCGATGTACAGTCCTCTACCATAGTGACGTAAACCGAGATGGACGAGACATCCACAAGGATATTTGCAAATCACGTGCCGCACCTTCCCCTGCAAATTGGAAGATTGCTTCACATGCAATGACCACAATGTCCTCTTCGGGGGAGCTCAGCAGAAGAACTGCGGTCGTTGTCGTTTTGACGTCGATGCGAAGTGGTTCGAACTGTAAAACAATGAAGGTCGTGGATTTTGTGGCAGAGCATTGAGAGAGAGGAAGAAAAGATGCAGAAATGTCCTGACCGTATCCTTGCAGGGACTTGAACTCTTGTTGGACTTTTTTTCTTTCTTATCTTTCTTGTCCATTGCGAAGGTCTCTCCACATCAGTCGCGCTTTTGTACCACTTCATTAATATATGTTGAGCTTGTGAGTACACACAACGAATGGAGTTTGGGGGCATTTTAGTTTTTTTTTGCATCGATGAACATTTGCGACAAAAGAGGAATTCAAAACCGTGCCTCTATCAGACGACGGTGTGGTTCGCCGAGCTTCGGCAAATAATCGATCACACGATGATGACATTCTTTGAATAGTTTTGGTTCTGAACGGCGACGTTGCTAAAATCTGACGAAAGTTGACGTGACGAATTCGACGTCATCGCGTAACCGAGACCAACATTTTTGATTACCTCATGACGAAAAACGAAACGTAAATTGTGCATTTATCGGAACTTACCCCCAACTTGAGTCCATGCTTTACTGAGCAGATGTTCTGTGGGACCCTGTACTGAACATCTTCGATTAAAAGTCAAACTGAATGAAAGGTTATAAATTGCCGAATCAATAACTCACAGACGTACACAAAATATATCATACAACTGGCAAAAATCCATATCGCCAAGTCCAAGATATTTCAGTTTCCTGGACTGCCGATATGAACTACAGGACTAACATTGGTTTCCCTGGGCAACCGCTGTAGTAGGGACCGTCAACAAAGTAAAGGACCGAAAACTATCGATTTTATATATATATATATATATATATATATATATATATATATATATTTATATATATATATAAAACACTACAAGTTTTTCTATTTTGTAGCATGCAGTTTTGACAACAGATCTTGAGACAAGGAAAGAAAATCCTGTTCAGTGTCTCTCTTTAGTACAGCTGCTTCCTGTGCATTATTTGCAAAAGGTTTAACTAAAATATACAAAGTACCCACAACTTGTTTTTTGAAATATTTTAGCGTTGCAGTTTGCACTCAAAACGTTACAATGAAATGGAGGCATATCTTCTAATTTTTGCATTACAGTTGATTTGTTTTCGTACAATAAAATACTGTACACCAGTACTTTTCAGTGTTCCATTAGCCTGCCATGCATGTTTGGGAGGAAACCCCTGCGGGAAGGCCTGAGCCGGAATCGAACCCTGCACCTCTGCATTGTGAGGCCGACGTGCTAATCAGCCGACCACCGCGCCACCTTAACATTGTATCGTAAACAAAAAAACAAAACCACGCTGTAGATCAACTTCCCTTTATTCACACTTTTTTTAGTCTTTTGTTTTTCATCCATGGTAAATGATTCTATGGTGTCTCTTAAGGGTTTATTCACTGCACTTGACATCTCCCTACTTATCGTGTTGTGTGCATGCTCAGTGTAAAAGAACACCTGCAGTTTGGAGATAATACCCCCTGTGCACTCTTACTGCCACCTACTGGAGTGGATGTGCATTTGCACTTTATTCTAGTATGGGGAAAAAATAATCATGTTCTCCACGGTCACACATACCCCCAGCATTTAACCCCCCTCACCCCCCTGAAAAAATGTGGGAGTCAGCCCCACTATTTGAGAACTTTTTTCGCCAGATGGCTGTCATCATATTACCATTTCACGATACTGTCCAAATGTTGAATAAACTAGTTCCAGTTCCTACTCTCAGCAGCTCTTATAAGCTTTCATACTGACTAGCAGCAATGCTGTCAACCTCCAGGAAGGTTCCAGGCTCATGCATAAGGTCCACAATGTAGCAACATGGCTGTGAGAAGGTGTCATTGCTACAGGAATCTCCCTTGTAGAGCAGTACTTCGTTCCAAGCTCGGTTGTAGTCACCTCGAACCAGAGTACACCTCAGGCCAATGGCATCAGCTAAGTACTGCGTGGAAAAGTACAATGTATTATTAATAGTTACAAAGATGCCTTTGGATGAGGGTCGTGACGCGGTAGTCAGCGGAAGCACCTTGAAAAGAAGTGCCCTGTGGCAATGAAATCCTTTCGTGATCATGCCAATGGGGATGACGTTGCACTGCAGCTTACACCTGAGTTCATCCAGGTGCTGCAACCATGGAAATGCGTCCAGGTCTTCCTTTTCAATGGCTCCACCCATGATTTCGGTGACAAACCTGACAACCCCGAGAGAGAACCACAAGTTGCCTGAACGCTTACAAAACATTTTGTGTTTTCTTAACCCTTTATGCTGCTTTCTGCACACGTGAGCACACAGTGGTGGAAATGTCTCTTTGTTGATAATGTGCCGGTGGAAATAGTCACCTGGCCAATGCAACATATTGCTCCTGTTCTTCATTCAAAGGCTCAATGGACTCTTTCACCTCTTTAACTAGAAGCGGTAATGCGATGTCATCCATCACTTTACGATTTCTCTCTTGACTAGACTCTGACTGGGCCTCGTCTTTCTGTTGCACCTCATCACTCATCCTAAGTCACAGAAATGTAAACCACTCAACAGTTTTCATGCATATGTTGCCAAACGTTTGAGCCAAACTGGCCTGAACTGCATCATGTCTTTAATAGGCATGCATGACTGCGATTTGGGACTCCTACTCGATTGCGTTGACAACAATGACAGGCCGTAGTTGGTTTACTGGTTCCATGCAGAGTTCCTCCAAGGTCAAAACTTTCTGACAAAATCCAACCTGATGGAGACATTCATGTGTTTGATATCATCAGCAAGCTCCCAAAAATGACTACACTTTTTTGTTGTTCTTTTTTTTTCTTCTAAAGTACACACCTTCCCAGCATCATAGAAGCCAAATGTGATGACATCAGTCGTGGCCAAATAGCCGAGCAGACCATATTTAACAGACACGTTGTATTTCAGCAGACTGATCAAGGCAAACTCTGTGAATTTGCTCCTACGAGTTATTGACTGGGTAATTTCTTGAAGGATTTCCAAGGCTCTGAAACATACAAACAAGACAAGTTCTTCCACTTGCAAAAGACCAAATCAGTGATAACACAAGACTGTGTCCTACACTGCCCTCTACTGTCGGTTCTAAATTTTGAGGTTATTTTTCAAAATACCACCAAATACTGTACTGTATGTTTTAAGTAATCCATGAAAGGATTCCATATAGTATTCTTTGATAGTGAATAGTTTATGAACATTGAATATTCTATGAAAAACACACCACAGTAATGCGTATCGTGTCACTGCTAGCTCAGCATCTCACCCAAGTTTACACATCTCCACAGCAGTGGGCTCATCCTTTGTACAAACACTGATTGCCATACACGTGCAGCGCAACACCTCCATGTGACTGGAACGCAGCAAACCGACCAGCGGTCCAAGGCCTTCGGCCTCTCGCAGCTACGTTGAAAAAGATTTCAGCATTAAGGTCCTGATGTTATTGCAAGACTTGTTTGATGACCTTGCCTATCAAGTCTGAATCCTTTAGTTTTCCAAAGGACACCCGCTTATGAGCATCATTACTTTGGTCACTTTTGAGAATGAGCAGTGGGTCGCATGATGCGTCCGAATGACCCAGGAGAAATGTTTGGCACTATTCACAGAAAAGGTTGACATGATACTACAACTTTATGAGCAACTCTATTTTGAACACTGTGCTACAATATACATCTGTATCTATCTCAATATTGAGGTGGTCTCTTATGTCCCGCATGTGCCTCACGCATCTGCCCGGGTGTCGTGTAGGATTGAATTATTCAGAGTGGGTCTCGCTAAACTAACTTGTGTTCTGGCGTCTTCCTCAAATGCCAGTTCGCAGGTGCAGAGCAAGGCACTGATCAGGACCTGTGTGTCTGCCGATTTCAAGGTTTCCACCAGTACTGGCACGACTCCCTGTGATATCACGTTACACCGGATGGCTTCCTGTCCCGCCATCCTTCCGAGTAATGTTAGAGAATTGGCCACCACTTTCGGACACGTGTCTTGTAGCCTCTGCACAAGCACCTCGGGTCCTCCTGCATAAAATACCTCCCTGGTGGTGTCATAACAATACAAAGAAGACTCAGATTAATGCCCCTATAGCTGTACAATATTCATGCCTAAGCATGCGTTTTGTGTGACTGCCTAAAATGTAAGACTTTGGAGGAAACTCCGAAAGCAAAGGAATAAGAAAAGTATGCGCAAGATGAAAAATGTCTTTAATCAGTAGTCTCTCACGTGAGCAAACAATCTGTTCAATTACAGACCTGTGAAAGGCATTAAAAGCAACCCCAACTGATGTGAGCGTGAATCATTGCTCTACGTCAATAAAAGTTGCTAAAGTAGATGAACGCTACTTTTCACCCAGAGTGAATCGGTGCTGCGTTATCAGGAGTGCCGATCCGATTCATTGAATTTGATGTGTAAACTGTGGATTTGGTCATCTTTTCTTGCTCTTACATAGTATTGTGCTGGTCTCCAGATGTGATATTGGTTAGGCCCTGGATAGCATGCTCTAGGATCTCTGGACACTTACTCTTCAGTAACCGAACCACAACCGGTATGGCACCTGAATGGAAGACAACAATCAAATGTGTACCCGAGGATGTCAGTGGTCGATTTGAGGCGAGTACAGTACCTAAATCCCTGAAGAGGTCTTTGCTGGGCGGGAAGGAGGTCAACAAGGCAAAGGCTTGGCAAGCATACACTTTCACGCCATCGCTGCCGCTAGTCAAAAAATCCACCAGAACCTTCTCAATCCTCTGCTCATTCAGAAATGGTTGAAGGCCAGCTGTACACATTGTGAGAAATAACCAAGATAGACGGCAATCCCACACAAAGTACACACAAGTAGGGTAGAGCGGCCACAGTTGTAACACTCGCAAGTGCTCCCATCAGGAACTAGTAATGGGAGTCACCTGATTCACCTTGCACTTGCTTCGTTTAGTCCTTAGTCCACATGTGCAAAAGTCATGTCAGACAGCACAGAAAACATTGTGCGAGCAAACGAACTTTCAGTAAACTGTTTTTCTTTCCTCTCAATGTATGTTTGTGATGACATAGCCTGCCTGCTGTGCAGTGGAACTCGTTAAATGTGTAGCATCTTCATGATCGGTCTGTTTAGCAATATTTCACGGAGGTTGTTTGTGGTCATGTTTAAACTGTTACAGCAAAGCCAAGCTAGCTCGTTGCGAACGCACGCAGAAACAAGTTCGAACAAACCCATCTGGAGTAAGTTGTAACAGTTATAAAATTATACAATTCCACAAGCTGAATTTGACTTGAATGCATTGTTGATCGTATTTGCTTGTTATTGATTATACTACTACTATGATACTTTCCATGTGATTTATTAGTCGACCCTTGAAGCTCGTTTACATAGCAGTTTTGAACTTCCTAGGTGAAAGGAGCTCAAAGTTAGAGACAGATATGTCAAAAAGGTTACAACTGTGCCCCCTCTCTCCTACAGGTCATCTTTTCAAAGACATGACTTCAATGTTGCACTGTATTATTATTTTTTTTGTTTTCATGTTCTGTTCTTACGGTTCTGAGCGGCACCCGCGATGCACTTAACAGCAATGGCCTGGATTTCTGGACTGCCGTTTTTAGGCAAAACGGCCTGGCTTTCAGGCAATTTGGAGTTAAGAAGAAGCTCCATCAGCAAAGAAAGGCCTCCTCCCTTCTGTATCACCCGGAAACTCTCAAAGTCACTCATACAATTGGAAAGAACCAGCAAGCTCTCCCCATGTAGGTCAATTAAATCCTGCGAGATGTGGAAATACTCTCAGTTGTACCCATCCCAAAATGCCAAAATGAAGTGCTGATTTCGGAAGAAATGATATGCATAAAAGGATTGGGACACTAGGCCTACAAAACGGGAAGTTGTGGCAACAATAAATAAATGTGGTTTGTTTACTGCTCTCGCAGGTTGCACTCTCCTGGACAGCTTTTCCACAAGATCTTCCAGAGTGTCTGTCAATTTCTCACCAAGGTCAGGAATGGAAATTCTTTTAGGTCGACGTCAGGCCAACAAGGTCTCGATTAAGTGACCAACAGTGTCTCAATGCTTCTTCCATACAATATATTTGACACACTGTACACCAACCTGATTATTAACGATCTCAATGAGCTCATCAAATAGCCGTTCGTCCCTGAAGGCGCTTTGTGACTCTTCACAAGTAGAAATTATCTGCAATGTTTTTAAAGCCAGTTGCTGAAGGGCACTGAACGTTGACTTGAGCAGTGCGAGTAGTTGACGAAGCCCTTGTAATTCGATGACAGCCCGGCAAATGTGTGTGTCCTTCATAGACATAAAATCATTACAACTTTGAAAGCGGATGTTGACTTTGTGCTTTTTCAGGTACAATCCGTGACTCCATTTGTGTTGTTTTGTTTTTTCAATGTGATTTAAATCACCTCAATCAAATTGTAGATGGTATCCAGAGAGTTCTTCTGAACATCTGGGTCAGCATTAGAGAGGAAGTTGACTAATAGTGGCAGACCGTTGTTATCAATGATCTGGACCTGACAGCAGGAATCCGTGGACAGACAGGAAAGGCACAGGGTCCCAAATTCGTGGACAGCAGCATCTCATTGACAGGGCAAACATAACATAGTAAAGACAACATATCATATTAAGCCTGTACCTCGCTGAGCGACGAATGCTTGTGTTTGCACATGCAGCACATGCTGTTTTGTTCAAGGTTACACAGACATTCGCAAACAGTTTTAATAGTCAGTTTTTCTCGGCGCAGAGAAATTTTCAAACATGTACAAAACGGTGACAAGAAAAATTATTTGCGAACATCTTGTGAACGCAAAGGAAAAAACTACATTTACACACGCTCGCCAGCCTTCGCCACTCATTGAGATACCACCTTAAAGTGAGGGAATATCGATTCAGCATTGGAGCATGAAAACTTACCATTGAGTGATAGTTTGTCAATGATGGTTGGAATAATATCCATGTTTTGCAGGGCACTCCTGGCTGTACCTTCAAATGATGACACAACTGAAATGAAAGGCCTTTTCACACTGCACTTAACTCTCCTAAGCGTGCCGTTTGAGCGTCCCATTCATTGCGTACCCAGATTGCCATTTGCTGTCACTGCAGTTCAATTAGGGAGCAGCATTTCGACAGTCGGCATGTTAAATAGGAGAGGTGGGTGAGCAATTTTTGAGTGGCAACAGCAAAAGATTTGGGTGTTGTTTTTACAGTGATAATAGCATGGGGAAATGGAAAAAAAGAACTCGAACTCTGCTGTCCCAGTGTCCCACACTGTGCCAGCACCAGCGGATGTTTCTGCCATGTGTATAGAATTAATCTTTCAAGATGCAATTAATGTAAATAACACGTTGGCGGAGCATTATTTCATAAGACAGCGTCCGCGTGGAAACGGTACTTATGTTTCCCTTTGTGTGGGCGTGGCCGCAGCGACAAGGGGCGGACGTGGCCGAACACATAGCCGCGCCCCTGTTCCACCGTCCAGCCCCAAATATGGACAAGCTCGCGCCGGTTGCATACTTCCGGTTGGTTTGCCGCGAGAAGCAAGCGCAGTGCGTCGTGAACACTTTGACTCGTTCATATGCGTTGGACACCGAACATGTGTGCCGTTGACCTACTGTTGGTAGCCATGACGCCCAGTCCAATGATGGCATTGCGTCTGATCTTGCAGTTGTTGTGAGTAATGAGCTGACTGAGAGGCTCCAGTGCTCCATGCTCCGTTAGATAAACCTTGTTCAAATCTCCTAATAGCGGGGTGGGGGCAGAACACAAACTAGATTAGACGGGCAAACGGATGGGCAGTCGAGACAGGTTCCCTTCACCTTCCTCCGCAAATTCGTAGATTGCTTCGCAAGCTTTTATTAAAATGTCCTCTTCGGGAGATTTTAGTAGAAGAACTGCAGTCGCTGGTGTTTTGAACGCGACGCGACGTGCTTCAATCTGTGAGATGACAGTAAAGTGGGACTGTATCTTGAGCAGAGCTCCGATGGAGCACAAGTAGACGAAGACGTAACTTACCGTGTTCAAAGACTCGCGACTTGTCTCGTTTTTCTGATCTCTCCTCCCCATTCCGTCACCTGCCAGAGCACATAAGTTTGATTCTTTTCCTACTTTTCGAAGCTTTCGTGTTTATTTTACATGTTTTATCGATTGAATTCAAATTAATTTGTTTCAAACTGTCCCCCTACTTGAAGTGTCCACGTCGAGGACGTAGTCCTAACACCACCATGACAACAAAGTTAGCGTGACGTAGTAACCGAGGTAACGTTCCTCCAAGTCCGTCGTGTAAGTCATCTTGTGTATTAATACTTAATAATTATACAAATTGTGTCCTTATTAAGTGCATGATTGCTTCATGGTAGAATGTTTTCGACAATATTTTGTTCAGGGTAAATAATTTTACATTCTGAAGACTCAAGGGTCCTTCAACCGGTGTGGTAATTTCTCCGGTTTCTTTTTCTAAACTAAAATATATTTATATATAATAAATAATTGGCTAATTGAATATAACCTTAAAATGACAATGACTGTTTTTTTATATTTAAAAAACTATTTTACATACGTTATATAATCTCATCTAGTTTGCCCACCCCAGGTTCAATCAGTTGGGCCATTATGTTCGCTACAATACAGCACTGGGTTTCAATGTAGTAAACGTTGAAAATAAAATATGCCTGAGCCTCACTATACGAGACCCAAGAGTGGACATAAATGCCCTGTGTCTGTCTTTTTTGTCACTTTTGGACAAAAGATTCAGCAGAGCTTTACAAATCACATCGTAGGCTACGCACATTGAGTGCAGTGGTAGGCCGATAATGGCAACGACAGAAGAGGAATTGATGTCCACATTTTACCTGCAGGCCCCAAAAATATCCATTCACCGCATAAATGCTGTTTGGTCTTAGAATTACAAACGATGTAAATGCAGTGGGAAGGGAATGCACGGAGAAGCGTCGTGCTTCTGGCGACCAGGGGGGCTGCAGCGAATCAGGACGCAGCCCCTGCAAAGCCCAGGCTGCCCGAGTGTCGACTCCCATCTGTCGAGCTGTCACTTGACAGCAGCAGCACACATGAACCGGAGGGTCCCGCGCACGGATTGCGAATTACAAACGATGTAAATGTAGTGGGAAGGGAAATCACGGAGAAGCGTCGTGCTTCTGGCAACCAGGGGGGCTGCAGCGAATCAGGACGCAGCCCCTGCAAAGCCCAGGCTGCCCGAGTGTCGACTCCCATCTGTCGAGCTGTCACTTGACAGCAGCAGCACACATGAACCGGAGGGTCCCGCGCACGGATTTCGATCGCCTGTCGACTTTACTATAAAGGCGTTGCCTTCGTTGCGTTTTCAACGGGGCAGCGACATTAAAGGACAACAGCTTTGGCATCTCCACGGACGGAGCACGAAAGCGTAGGACGAAGGTTTTCTCCGCCGCTCGCTACTCGGGCTGCTAATGCTAATAGCTAGCCAGCTAGCTAGCTTGCGGACCGGATAGCAGGTGTTCGGCAGCCCGTTGGTGTATTTAGCTGGCGAAGCTAAGGTCGGATGAGCTAAGGATAGCTGCCGGTCAACGGTACCTCGCGGCTGCTTTGGCATAATAAATGTGTCAATGTAGCGCTTTTGCCAATACAACGCCAACTACTTCCCGTGTCAATGCATGCACCGTTGTGAAGTGTTTCTCCGCCTCTCGCCTTGATGAATCTACCCCGTATATGACTAGCATGCTACGGCTCTGCTAATGCCAGCTCAGTGAGGCTTCACGTCGTCGCAGGGCTGCGGAGTTCCACGGGCGAGCCGAAAGGGGGAAGAGACGTGCTCGGTAATGCATACTGGGGGACACGGTGGACTGTCAGGCGAAGGAGACCGATATTAGCGTCAACGTTGCGCCCTGCCCACCCCCGTAAATCCTTATTGAGTTTGGGCCATATGGTTTTAGCCAGGCTGCGGTGGATATTTGATGAAGAAAGGGATTAGGCTCATTTTGACCAGACAGCTGACTAAATGAATAGCCCTGTTATCCACTGAATCGTGAGGTGGTGGCCACCGTGCCAGAAAAGGGAATACATTCTGAAGATCAACCCCAGGGATTGCAATACACACAACGAGCTTGCAAAACGATGGCTTCGGCGGGCAGTATTGCTGCAGCCATTGCTAGCAAAACCAAGACGAAAAAAAAGCACTTCGTTGCCCAGAAAGTGAAGCTCTTCCGTGCCAGCGATCCTCAACTCAGCGTGGTTATGTGGGGAGTCAACCATTCGGTAAGTTGGACCGTATTTTATAGCTAATTATACGTGTGTATGCCCCCCTCCCCCCATTACATGACATCCCAATGTATACTGTAAATGGCGGCAGGTTTTCAACATGTTGAAAATGGCACAATTTTATTGCATGTATCGGATGATGTGTGTTTTGAGCTGTTAGTACTCGTGGTTTCCTGTTATGCACATGTAGGATAAGCGGCAGGACTTGATGTCATGGGTGAGTGCATCTTCCAATGTGAGGGAGCTTCTCTGCTTTTCCTTTTTTTTTAATTTTATTTTTTTTGCATTGGGTCAATGCCCTTGGCTTGCTCCTAGTACAAACATAACCAGTGAAAGACCAAACCTATGTAGAAACACATTTCTTTTTCAAAATAAATCCATATTTCTTATGTCAAGAAACGTGATCGTCATTGGCATGATTAAAAAAATGTGGCATTACTTTTACAATTCCTCTGTTGGATGTGAATATATGCTGGGAGTTGGATAACATTTTCAAATCTCCCCAAAGCATGTTGGAAAATTGTTTTTTGGCGCGATGAAATTATTATTGAACTCTTCTGCAGCAATCCCCTCATTTATGTTTGGTACAAAAACACCACTGAAGGGTGAACCACAGTGACGGAGACGCCATTTCTGCACACCATTTTACGATTTTATTTAACGAGGAAGTGGTTTGCTAACACTCTGAAAAAGAGGAGCTTCTTAGTAGAACACTTCCCAATTTACCGCCACATTTTATTTGTTTACAGATTATTTAACAAAAAAAAGAACAACAACTGTGATGACTACAAAACTGTTAGGGTGGCATCTGTGCAAATTCAAGAATGTTTTTCTTAATTTTTCACGATAATTTGGCCTTGACAGAGGTAGTTCTAAAATTGAATAATGTGTTCCTTAGAAAAAGTGAAAAGGCCAATGATAACATCATAACCATGACATTAAACACTGGATCAGTTCACATTTTTCTCTTGGACGCACTCGTCATATTAGGAGTTAATTTGGCGGCAGCTTGACATTACATTTCGAGTTTTGCTCGTCTGATGCAGGAGCCACAGCTGGTTCGATGTCATTTAAACTGGTGCGACCAGAATTTGCTGTCATGTGTTCTGCCAAATTTTAACTAGGTAGGAAGCATCACTCCACATAGTTGAATAATTTCTGTTCATATGTTAATTGTCTTATTGACACAGTGCCTGTAAATTAACAAAAGGAGCCATTATGTCTGCATGGATTTTTTTTTTAGGGTGTCAGGACATTTTTTTTCATAGCAGTAGGCCAGTCACTATTATTACGATATTGCCATATTTCTCGCTTAAGTAAGATGGACATTTTTTTTTTCATGTGTGTGTTTACATCCGTCAGCAGTTGTTGGTGCTGATTCGTTCACTTTCGTGTCAGATACCATGCTCGAAATCTGCTCCGTGCATAAGTCATCTTACGGTCCATCTTTCACCTTTTTGTCTTTGCGCACCACGTTCACTTCAGCTTCCCCATGGAATAGTCTCTTTGCTTCTTTTCGATTCAGGTGGTGCAAACTACCTTGAGTTGTACCGGTGTATGTGCTACCACTCTATTTTTATCTGCGTCCTCATTACGTCTGAACCCTGTGCTTGTGAACAGAAGGATGCAGAACTCCCCACTGGCATAACAGTGTTCGCTACAGGTTGAAAATGGCTGCAATATGACAAGCCAGTCGCCAAATTCAGTCTCATTGAAATGTGATTTGTCTGAGCGGTTTTGCTTGTTACATAATACAGTAGTGGAGAGCCAGATTGAAAGTGAGGGACGAGACATAAAAGGGGAAAAAAAAAAATCAAGTGATGGAATTTACCCTAAATAATAAATAGAAATAAATAGAAAATATGTAATATATATAATATAAAATTTTTAAAAATAATATTGTGCACATGGCCCACAAAGCCGCATTCTTGTGCTCATAGAATGGCCTAATGTAACACGAAGACAAACTGTATTTGAACTGCAGTGGCCTTCAATAAAAATTCTGTGTCTTCAAGCTCATATGAGCGTCATGTGATTATTTTGTCTAATTGCCACCAGTGATTCATGGGTTTGGAGTCATAACCATCTCCGTAATGATGCCATGGCCGCACAATTGCTCAGCGTAAGGTTAAGTCTACACTCCGACCATCATAAAATGTCGTTGCTCTGTGACCTTATGATGCAGGCAATGTGTTGAAGGTCAAATCTCCATTCAGTGTGTGTTGTGAATGTCTTCTGTTGGAGCAATATCGCGGATTCGTTCATACGAACACATTTTTCAGTCTGTATCTTAATCAAAGCTCAAAATACATTTTTTTTCTGTTGGCTAACCGTTTTGCTCATAAACCCTGCGTGCCGTCAGATCTTGCAGGAGTTCACAAGCTTAAAATTCTTATTTCTCCCCACCAATTTGTAGCCGTTAGACTCTCTAATTCAAATGTCTGCTTTCAGTCAACACTATTTGTCATCGGCTAAGAGCAAGTCATCGCTTTGACAAAGTTCAGAGATAACAACACCGTGTCATGCTGCTGACGGAGCACTCTGCCGCACTCGCTTCCTGTCCAAATGAAGCAATAGCACATACTTGCTTCACTCTGGACCGGAAAACTAGTTTGCATCGCCATGGAGACAAACAGGACGTGGTTGTTTGCAATGACTCTGCAAGTGCGATAGTCGTATGGCAATGAACTATGCTGGATACGAGGTTAGGCTGGCTAATCAACGCAAACGTTGCGACGCCAGCACAATGGCATCGAAATTGATGACAAGTGATAATCGCTAAAAATAAAAGAGTGCAATGTAGCAAGGCATAACATTGGAAGTCGTCTTCTTTGCGAAAAACAATGTTGCATTTTCGTACAAGTGACTTAGAAAAGTAAATGGAGCTGGTTACTCACCACGTCTGGTTTGCGAAAACACTGCCATGTCTTCTCCACGGCCGTTGCCAATGGCTCACAATAAGGAAGCGCTTGACTTGGTCCTTCCATCCAGCAAAAAAATGTCAAATCAATCCGTGACTGAAGGTAAAGAACAGATTTACTGTCTCTGCATCAGGAAAATATCAAAGACTGAATTCAGGTCAGATGAACGTGTTTAAAACACCAGGCACACTCATTGGACAGATTGACTTGAAGTGGAAACAAAACAGCTTTTAAAAAAAAAAAAAAATGCAATGTGACAACTGGCGTGCTTTTTTGTGGAATTTTCTGATTCGTTCCTAGGCACGTCTTGATGTATTTTACTTTATTTTTACGATTTGAAAGATTTGACCCCCCCCCCCCACAGCTGGCTTTTCCAATCTACAGTATGTGTTACATCAGCATGAAGAGCTCATCTGTCAATTGCCTGTGTTATGAAATATGCTGACATTGAAGGGCTTTCCTAAGCAAAGCTGAGCTGCACCATAAATTAGCACGACCATCTTATCACGGTTGCCGTTTAAACGGGTTGTAAAAGGGTGACATCAGATGTTTTCCGCAGCAAGATTCAGTAATGTTAGACGTCAGTGGTGTTTGCCGCTTTGCACGCTCATCATCGTGTATGCAATAATTGCAGCACTGAAGTTTCTTACCTTGTCACTGCCCCCCACCCCCCCTTCTCCCCATGTTTCCTGTAGATAAATGAGTTGAGCCATGTTCAGATTCCCATTATGCTCATGCCAGATGATTTCAAGGCCTACTCGAAGATTAAAGTGGACAACCATCTATTCAATAAGTAAGGTCTTGAATGTGTTTATGAATATTTAGCTGCTGTTGGCGTTGTCAAATTTAGTTTTGGACCCAAAAGTCCATTTCCTAACTGTGGTTTCTTGTTTTCCTTGTGCAGAGAAAACATGCCCAGCCATTTCAAGTTCAAGGAGTATTGCCCCCTGGTGTTTCGAAACCTCAGGGAGAGGTTTGGCATCGATGATCAAGATTTCTTGGTATGAAAATGTACCTTCATCTTTGCTAGATGTCCAACATAATCCTTGCTACGTTGGCCAACTGCGACGCTGTTTGTCATTTGTCTTTGAAATGGGGAATTGTGCAACTGCTGTGTGAAACCATCCTGTGCAAGGGCCATATTGACTACTGAACTTCACACGGAACTATAAAAACACCAGAAGTAGCATTTTTGTTCAGCCCACTTGCGAGACCTCTCTTTGGCATCTCTGTCTGTCCGAGACAACCCCCACCGCTCATGCGGTGAGTTAGCTGGGCTTGGAGGTCAACGTGTTCTAGCTCATTGCAGCTGTCCATTTTATGTTTATATTAGTCTTTAACATGCTCTATTTGGAGTGTTAAAGATCCTAGCAAGCGCAAAGCACTGTCATGGCATGGCTGGCATAGAATTACTTCACCAGTTCAAGCGCAAACAAAACTGCCTGTTCAACTTTCTGGTTTTTTTTTTTGTTTGTTTTTTGTATGACAATAGCCCTCATTACAACCTATCCGAACAAAGATCTTGATTCGGTGGGAGTGAGTTATGTGTCAGCCTTTTAATACATTTCACGAAGCAATCCATTTTCGGTCATACTGTGAAGCACATGTTGGTGCATGTGCCTCAAAGGTTATTCCTCCATAGTAAAAGATGCAAAGATTTTGAAGGGGGTAGAGGTAGTCACCAAGGGCAGAGGACATCATGAATTCTTGAAGACTGAGGCACAGAGACAGGATTTGGGGATCATGTTACTTGGAGACTTTTCCAAAGTCTGGACAACAGCTGCTTATGTCTGTGTAAAGGTTTGGTCAGGCGCAGTGTGCGGGGTCGGAACACCGCATGGTTATACGGACGGCTTGAAGAAGCAGCAAAAAAATCAGTTCAAACAATGGTGGTCATCCAGGTCAAATACAGTACTGAGCATTTTTGTATTTATTCCTCAGAGTTAAGCTTAGTCAGGTTGTTCAATGAGCAATGCCCCCCCCCCTTTTTTTTTTTTTTAATATTGACAATGTCAATCATATTGAACATTTGCTCAGCATTTATTGTTGTTTAAAACACTGAGCTACAAATTTTGACTGAAACGTAAAGAACATTTTCAAAATGATTGGGTTTTAAAATGAAAAGAAGTTGAATTGAGACTTTGATTTTTTTGGGGGGGGGGCGGGGGGTAACAGAGGAAACTGCAAAATGATTGTTGGTCTCATTCTGTCTCTGTCAACGCATCCTGCAGTTTTACATTTATGCTGCGGTGTACAAGATGGATGTCAGTAACAATACAAATCTTATAAACTGCCCAATATTGCACTGACGGCATTTTTGCCTGTCCCAGTCCAGTTTGTGCACAATTTCCCATCAAAAATAATCTCCAACGTCTGGTGAATGATCTTTCTCTTCCTCGCAGAACTCCCTGACTCGTAGCGCTCCCTTGAACAGTGAAGCCCAGGGACGAAGCGGGGCTCGTTTCCATACCTCATATGACAAGCGCTACGTCATCAAGACCATCAGCAGTGAAGACGTGGCGGAAATGCACAACATTTTAAAGAAGTACCATCAGGTGACATAAGTGTAGTAATGCCATTAAAGTAGCTGAATCCGATTGATTGGCTAAGTATGTGAAGAAAAAAAAAAGACACAAGGAATTTGCTTTCCCAATTCGGACCGTCCAGAGGAATGTAGACAAAACAATGACCAACAGGGGGAGACAGAACGTGAAGCATGGCGGTTTGCTGTTCAAGATATCGTAGTTGTGAAAAGAAAACAATGGGGAGAGGCCTTGATTGAATTATGAGTGACTGCTGCAGTATACCCTGTATTCTGTTCAATAACCCACTTTTGCTGTTTATCCATCTCATTTTGCAGTTTATTGTGGAGTGCCATGGCAACACGCTGCTGCCTCAGTTTTTGGGGATGTACAGGCTCACCGTTGACGGGGACGCAACGTACATGATTGTTACACGCAACGTCTTCTCGCACCGCCTTTCTGTCTTCAAAAAATATGATCTCAAGGTATAAGGGGAGCGCAAAGAGAAAAACAAATCACCGCAGTAATGCCAGTAACATGATGGTATTTTTATTTGCTTCCAGGGTTCGACTGTGGCGCGAGAGGCCAGTGACAAGGAGAAGGTACGGCGCACTGGCTAATACACATTCCTCCTTTAAACATGATGAAAGGGCATTTAATCCGTTACTTTATACAATTTACAAGCATTTGAACACACTTAGGAGTTATGCGAAAATCATTTTACACTCAAAAAATGGATACGGTTGCTGGCGTGGAAATGTGTCTTATATATTTTTTTTTTGCAATCATTCCTACTCTGTCCGAGTCTGCTCCAAATTCATCAATCCACGATGACCCATGTACAATCCGGTGTATGTTGTGGACCGGCGGTGCCCAAGTCCGGTCCTCCAGTGCACCTAACAGATGTCTCCCTCCTCCAACACACCCGATTCGAGCGGCGAGCGCATCGGCCAGCTTTGCAGAACCCCAATAACGACCGTGATCATTTGAGTCGGGTGTGTTGAAGGGGACACATACTGGATAGCGGCTCTCGAGGACTGGACTTGGGCACCGCTGTTGTGGACGGTGCAAAGCGCGGAAATGAACAGAATCGAATATCCGTCCTTATTATCTTAGCAAAGACATTCAATTAGCTTGTGTATGTCTTGCCTATGAAAACACTAACAGAATTCTTCCCCGAAAAGACATTGGGTCAATTACAGAAGAAGCGATGCGCTGAAGAATCTTGTCATTGCGTCGATTTCAGTGCCCAACACGGCTTCGAGCAGTTTCAATGCAACTGCCATCACCCAAACAGTTAAATGATCTCCAAAACTTGTGGCATGCGTTTCCTTTTGGTAATGCTGACAGTCATAAATGATCATTCCAACACTTTTAGGACCGATTATTCCATTACCCCATTCCCGTCTGGTCCCCTGCATGCTGTGTGTGTTTCTTAGTTGGCTTGAACCTCTCTAACCTTGCTTCTGTTGCTCCATTATTCCCCCTGCTTGCTCTCTGCGTGTGAAAGATTTGTGCGCATGAATGTTTGTGCGTGTGTGTGTGCGTGTGTGTGTGTGTACCCTTTTGAGTGCTATTGAAAATAGCAATAACGATGTGTGTAAGGAGGTAGAGTGGTTGTCTCCCAACCCAGAGGTTGGGGGTTTGATCCTCGGCCATTGCGACCTTGTCAAATTGTCCTTGAGCAATGTACTGACCCCCCTGTTGCTCCTGATGCTGCGTCATCAGTAGGTTAACGAGTAAATAGCGTCAAGCGCTTTAAGTACCACACGTAGAAAAGCGCTATGTCAGTGACAGCCCTATTTACCAAGTAACCATGTGATGTGATAATGTTGCTTTGGGGGTGAGGGGGTTTAATCATTTTTGTGACAGACTTATATCACCTTGGGTTTTTTTTTTTGTTGTTGCTCATTTCAAATATTCGCTAATGAACACTACTTGTGACACAGCGCTTTGACCTTGTGAAAGAAGGAGACGGCATTCAGAATTCCAAACCCTCGACCTCTGGGCTGTTTTTTTTAAGGCCTATCCACTCAGCAACACTGACAAGAAAATTGCTGACCATATATCTGTGTAATCCCACTTACTGTGGAGATTTGTTGGAACATGAAAATGCATGAACCATTAAAAAAAAAAACGGTCCCTTTATTTCACTGTTTTGCAGAGGCCTGTTTTCCGTTAGCATTGGCAATGTGGCACCCTAACTTTTGTTTAGTGTTGAATCAGTGTTTCGCCAAGAGCTGCTATTAACAGCAAACTCAGAGGTCTTTTTCCGAAGATTTTTACAGAGTTGGGCTTCGTGGTGGCGCCCCCCGTGTCCCTGAACAGCCATGCTCCCTGAGCAACTTGTTCACAATATGAAACCGGGAATTATCATCTTGGAATCTGCATGTGCCGTCGGGGGAGGCTTTCTGAAAACAGTTCCGGTACATTCATTTTGGGGCACGTAACATTGCCCGCCTCAATAATGAGAGTAGTCCCACCAGTTTGTGTGGTGCTCAGCAGCCATGCTGGCTGCATCACTTAATCCTCTGCCCTTCTCACCCCAATGCGTCCATCACTCTGGAACGCGGTAACTTGTAACTGTTCAGCCCGTGTGACCTTTTCCTTTGCTCCACAGTGCATTCTTTATGTTCCCCTGAAAAGCCAAAGTTTATTTTTATTTTTTTTTTCCTGAGAAGCTTTGTTTACACTGCAGCGCATGATGCGCAATTCAGATTTTTTTAAATGCCCTATTTTTACAAACTTGTGCACATTGCACAAAGAAATGTGACTTCTAATGTGAACAGAATGCATCTGAATTGACACGCGCGCGGTGTTCAACATCGCCTTAGAACAAAGTAGTCGTGAGCAACGGTGTTGGTAGCTCTCAAGGCATTAAAAAAAAAAAAAAAGACGATGACGACTCCAGCCTCTCATCCATTGTGAAATAAGTGACATGATTGACCTGTAGGGCAGCCAGTCAGCCATACCCCTGACGACCGGCTGACCGGTCACACCGGTGACTCCACCCGAGGCGCTTGCTGGCCGGTCGAAGGAGGGGCATGTTTGAGCCATTGATTTAAAAACACCAAGTCCGAGTGGCGTTCCACCCTGACTGATGTGCATTGGGAAGTGTGCACACGGCTCACTATCAACGCCATCCCTGCCTGATCCCGGTCGGCCTAAGTCATCAAAGCAAGGACATAAAATGTACACATGGGCTCATGCAGGTATGCAAGGTACACCAATATATGTTGTACATGTCAAGAATTCTAAGGATATTTTTCAACAAATGGATGCAGACCAGTTTTCATCCATCTTGAAAAAAAAAGCATTGTTGATATATCTTTCTACAGTTGGCGTGACCGACAGTGTTTGCTCAGTTCAAATCCCAATAAGGACCGTTTGCTGGCAACGGCTGTGTCTATGAGAAACCACCCTTTCTGACTCAGAAAGGTTTCGACTTTCCATTTGAGTTTCTGGTGGTTTAATTGTCGTGCACCGTGGAAGGGAGTGAGGGGAGGGCTTGAGCTGTCGTGATTCCCTGAGCTAAATTTAGCCTCGTCAGTGTCAGACAAAATGCAGTTCGGGGGTTTAAGCTAATGAGTCAACTGTTTTTGACTCATTAGCTTGGCTACAGTTTTATTTGGTCACCAGTTGTATGTTGATGAGATCTCAGCAACGTCAAACCTGCACACTCCTCAGATTGTGGTTGGCTCTGATTTTTTTAGGTTTTTTTTTGTCAATCGGTAAATGTGATATAAAAGCTGTTTTTTCAAGCCGGCATTTCCACACCCAAAAAGCGGGCGATACCGTGTGGTCATCTGAAATCCTGCATTTTTGGTGTGAACTAATTCCACAAGACTGAATACTGTAAAAACAACACAAGGATATATGGTGGCGGTGAGCACACGAAAGCACTTTTGACTGTGAGCACTCACAGGTGTTCAGCTTCGGCGATTGTGTTTGCAACCTTTCAAGTGTGGACACCCACACGCATTGCTCTCGTGAGTGTGCAATAAGTGAAAGATGAACAGTTGTGTTTAGAAGGTGCCGTGTGTGTTTTCAAATACTCGTACAAGAAGCATGGCGGGGTTGTTTTCTGACTGCATGACTGTCTGCCTTTCATGCATGCATCTGCATGGTCTAAGAAGTTCTTCTGCATCTTTTTCTAGTTCACTTCTAACACATTCCAGTGTGAACACGAGCCCCATTCTGTTTCAACCTATGTGTCACATCTGCCTGGAGTTTTGACTTAACCTATCCATCATTTAGGAAAGACGGGGGTAGGTAAATGCGTCATCTTAGCATTTTGTTAGTGTCATTAATAACATTTTAAGAAATCATCATCATAATTTTATTTGGAAAAGCCCTTTCTGGATGTCCACCCTCGTTTCACACTGATGTCTTTCTGAATCGCATACAGATTCAATGTCCTGATACGAATGCAGAGTGGACTGCCTTGATCCGAGTTTAGCATCCGTGGGCTTAATTGCACCACCGCAAATGTAGCTCTGCGCTTGAAGAGTTTCCATACGTTTCCTTGCTCTATTTAGCTTCCATCCCAAGTCTCCTTAGAGGAGCCCTGCCGGCCTTTCTTATTCATTGTCCACGTGCCGAAAGGGACTTTTTTTTTTTTTTTTTTCCTTCTTTCAACAAATCTGACACGCGTACAGGTTGAGCAGCGTAATGCCGACCTCCAGCGCATTCAGTGGAGGAACACAGACAAAGTGGAAGTTCTTCTCGACACGTAGCGGCTAAATAGCAGGAGAGCGCAACAGTTGGCCACAATAATTTTCCGCATCCTGCCCTCTCCAAGCCTCTTCCAGTTTTTCAAGCAAATGTTCTTTTACATTTGAAATACTTTGCCTTTACTTCCAACTTCCTTCCTTCCTTCCTCTCTCCTTTTCTTCTCTCCTTTCCTCTGCCCCGACCGCCCCTTCCTCGCTCCCCCCTTTTTCTAGCAGCCGCCCCCACCAGAGGATGTGCCCCTGCGGCCCAAATCTGGTAACGTTCAGCAAAGGCTGCAAACACTGCGGATCGCGACGCGCTTTTACTGCGCCATGAAACACGTAAGAGATGTAAGACAACCAGGGCTCATATACCAGGCATGATCTATCTAACCAAGCTTCTTTTGTAGTTACTTTTGTTCCCACCGAGATTCCTTTCTTCTGCAGGAAGTCTTGTTTTGTTTTGAAGGTCATACGTTTTTCAATTTCTCAGCAGGATCATTCGATCAATGGCACCAACTTGCAACAGACGAGAGCAAAACGTTTGAATGACCGCGTGAGTAGGAAGGTCAAACCGATGGGAGATCGTGAATCAAATCGACGGAATACAGTTTAGACAACGTTACAAGAAAGTTGCGGGGGCGGGTCCTTTCTTTTCCTCGCCAAAGCAGTCAAAAATGCATCAGTCGGAGACAACGCAAGGATGGAGAGAATGTGCCTTAAAGAGCGCCGAGGAGATGTGCTGACCGCGCCGCCTCTCTGTTGGCAAACCATTTTGTTATTATTGGCACTCGACAAGTACGTTGCTGCCTTCGGTACTGTCGTTAAAAAGGATATCCAAGAGATGACTCAGATTAGACAAGTTTGTTTCTTCCTAGTACAGCATGTGCTGTTCATCTGACCAAAATGTCGCAGTGTGACTCCCGGTTTTATTCTGTGTGTCCTCTACCTCCTCAGGAATTGGAGCATTGTTTATCAGCTCACAGTTTGAGAGCGTACCATGCAATGGTTTTCGATGTTCCGCTTGTAGGCAAGCGGGTGATAGTTTTTCGTGCTCGGTTTGATTACAATACAGTGGGATCTCTCAGGTCCCAATCCTTTGCATACGGGAAAGAACCGGAATGGAGAATCCGTTCCAGGGTCAAACTGTCAAGCCCCAAAAAAAAAAAAAAAGCAACCGATACAAGTATAAAAAGACATCGCTGTTCTTAGGAAAACAATACGACAGACTCAAATGGATTGCGTTCTGACTGTGCCTTACGTGTGTCCCTCTAGTGTAAAAAGATGCGAACCACAGGCAAGAGTCGAACGGAAAAACAGTCTGGGCCGTGAGTCTTTTCTCACATTCTTAGCACCCCTTCCGTAGGGCGGTCCTCGTCCTAAAATAAAGCTCAGTGCCCAGAGTAAATACTTTGATGCACATAGCCGTCAAATTTGAAGCAGCCGTACGGGGGCCTCGCACCTCACGGATTAAGCGATTTATGTTTTGATTGAATTGCTATGCAGGTGACTTGTGTGAGTGCGTATAATGCAGGGATCTTGGATTTTGACCACTAAATGATGCTTACAGGCGGTCTGGGCCTGCGCACGGGACTCCCGATTGCGTTGCGAATTGGCCAGTGTTGAATGGCACTTGACGTCTCGTAGGTGTGATGCATCCCCGCGTCCATGTGTGAAAGCTACGTTTGAGCCGATGGACGGAAGTGCGTGTGCGTATGGGAACATTTGATCGTGGGATCCCGCGGGTGAAAGTTATTCGAAAGTGAAAGGAAAACCTTGCTGCGGGCACTGAATTTTAATTTGACAAATACGTTTTCATTTTTGGGACGATGACGTACAATTAGTAACCCATTCGAGTTGATTTGGGACACGTTGGTAATCGTCAAAACGAATAGCGAACACGGACGAGTCTGAGCTCTTACACACGTTTTTTTTTTCCCTTTATTTTTAAACTATTTCTTCCTGCCACTCATGTCTGGACTGCAAACGGTATCAGCCCCAGCCCAAACTTCACACTAAAATTATGCACATGGATAATGGGCATGAAGTCGCCCAGAAATTGCATAGCCGACTACCCAGCCAGTTTGTTTTTTTGAATATTGCTTATATGAGGTCCATGTCTGTATATGTGTTCAGTTGTCCTGTTTTTTTTTAGATGTTTTCTGTCTATAATTGTGTGTGCGTGTGTGTTTGTTTGTGTAACGTCTGAGGTGTCTCTACCGCAACCACGTCCGCTTCCAAGTGATGTGTTGCTGCTCTTCTTCTGCTGCCATAGAAACGCTGTAGTAGCCACACTGCTGCTGACTGTCACCCTCTCTTTACCTCATTTCCTGCTCTCTTGATCCCAAACGTTAGGCCCCATTCTCACGGAACACCTCTTCCTCCCACAGACTGATCCGAATCTTGATTTATTTTTTTTTGTGTTTTTTTTTTAATCACATTGCCCCAACATTCAGGCACTTAAGTAGTGGTTATTTATCTGCGATGCTGACTTACGAATGATTGTTTCAAACCAGCTAGCGTGCTGACTCCAGCCCACTGTCGACAAAGGCGTTTCTTGGCTTTGAGTCGACTCTGCAAAACAGTGTACGGATCTACCAGATGCTTGGAAAAGCTGTTAAAACATCAAGCCATAAGGCTGCGGCCAATACGACTCGAGCGTTTTTTTTTTTCTGCACGACTCTGATCGTCAAAGCAAAATCCGACCACCTGTGAATACCGCATCAGATGGGTCCGTCGTCCATTCCGACGCGCATGCCGCATGCACCGCGTTCCCCGACTGACTTGACCGAGTGGCTTGAAAAGAGTTGGACCTCGGTTTGGACAGACCGCCCGTGCTTTGTTACCCGGACGGGCGGCTATTTCTGACAAACCGCCGGTTGCAAAGCCTCAATGATAAGTTATGAACCGCCATCTGCACCACTTCCATCGACTGTGCTGTTTTCATACCTTGCGGAAAACGGGACAGTAACACTCATGCTGGTGTTAAAGTGAATAAGTTTCCTTTGAAATCCCTGGTGACCCAAGGTAAATAAACCCGCTGCTTTATATGGCAGCCTCTTGTGTGATTGGCTGACCTTAAATCTTTGCACGAAGAGAGACTTTGCACCAGCATACTGGCATGTTGTTCCCCCGTTCTCCCCACTGGCTGATGACGATTGTTGTCACCGTGACCGCTAATCTCCCTTGCTGATGGCTAGGCTAAGGAGCTGCCTACCTACAAGGACAACGACTTCATCAACGATGGCCAGAAGATCTGCGTCGACGACGAGAACAAGAAAATGTTCTTGGAGAAGCTCCGGAAAGATGTCGAGGTAGGCTTGTTTGAATGCCTCCAAAACATCTGAAGCGGACAACTGCGACCAAGAAAATGTGGCCCGTCGTGTTGCTCTGACCGTTGATGACTTGCGAACTCACAAGCACCGCCGGTTCAAAGTTTACGTCGGCGGGCTTTGCTAGATTTAACCAAGCTCTTCTTTTGAGAATAGGGTCGGCTGAGCCCCACTCTTCCTGAAAAGGTTCTCCTCCCCTAACCCCTCATGCTTGCTCCCCCCCAATCCTTAGTTCCTGGCCCAGTTGAAGCTCATGGACTACAGTCTGCTGGTGGGGATCCACGATGTGGAACGAGCAGAGCAGGAAGAGGTGGAAAGCGAGGACAACGAGGCCGAGGAGGAGGGTGGCGAGAGCGACGGAGGGGTCATCGGGACCCCTCCCGACAGTCCCAGCAACACCCTGGACAGCACCAAGCCCCTGTCCCCCGGGGAATTTGATCCCGCCATTGATGTCTATGCCATCAAAAGCAGTGAAAGTGAGAGAGGCTCGCCGTGTCCTCCCCATCTCGAGCTCCTCCTGGTGGACATGTGCTCAACCGTAACTTGGCTTTCATCCGGCAGGTGCGCCCAGGAAAGAAGTCTACTTCATGGCCATCATTGACATCCTGCAACACTATGATGCCAAGAAGAAGGCCGCCCACGCCGCAAAGACGGTCAAACATGGCGTAAGAAGCTTCTTTTTGCCGTCCGATGTTTTTTATCGGGACAGTCTGAACTGTCCTTCGGAGAGAAAGTCTCGTGGAAATGCAAAAGAATAGTGACAGGCCCGGTCCAAAGTGTCGCTCCTGAATGCAAAACCATGCGTCATTTTCTCCCTGCAGGCTGGGGCCGAAATCTCAACCGTGAACCCCGAGCAGTACTCCAAGAGGTTTCATGATTTCATCACCACTATTCTGTCATAGCCCCCACGAGCACCAGGAGGTGCTTAAGCTCGAGGGTGGTGGGGGCCGTAGGGTGGAGAGGGGGAAAAAACAAAAGGCGATGGAAAGAATGAAGGTGCTGTGGTGTCTTTGTGTGGCTTCCCCGTTTCCTCCTTGCCGCAGCTAAAACGTTATTCGTTTACATTCAACTCCTCCTTGACTTTTGCAAAGGTTCTTTGGATGAGGCAATTGTCAAAATCAAATGTTCTTTTGTTGTTGTTGTTTTTCCCAAACAGTCTTGATGAGTCCTTTGTCTTGTCATTTTGGTGGAAAAGTGTTTTTTAAATTGCCCCCCCCCCCCGCACATCCTTTGTGTGTTTGTGTCAGACTCACCCTTTATGTGATGTTGGAGGGGGGCTGAGTTTCACTGAGGGGAGGAGGCCAGCCCCCCCCCCCCTTCCCGGCAACACGCCACCCTCCCGTCCCTGCAGATTGCCGCGTTCGTTGCGTTTAGTCACTCCCATGTCCTCCTCCTGTGCGCTCTTGCCATATGTCGATACAGCGCTTCCCCTCATCCCGTGCGCTCACTTTTGTCATTTGAGTTGTGATGCGGACTGGATAAGTGTGACTTAGCGACGGGGACAGGAAACGATGCATCAATCGACATCGTAAAAATAACTTCTCGGGTGGCGGTCTTTTCGAGAGTCGACATCGGCCATGAACAGGCTCTTGCCATCGGCACCTTATGTTAGGAATTTAAAAAAAAAATGTTTGCACTTTTTTTGTTGTTACAGTCCATGACAAAACATTTGAGCTTTTGATGACATTTGTGGCAACTAAGAGGAATCCTGTGAATAATGTGTGGAAAAGCTGCAGGGACTTGGTTCCGTTTGGAGAGAAACCAGAAAAGTATTCGATTGGGCCAACAAAACAAAATTGATCCTGCCGTGATCATACAAGTAGGAACCACGTGGCTGCCTCGCACTCCGGGCAGCAGAAAAACAAGCGTCCTCTTCTTGCATCCATAATTTCAAAGTCAATGCAACGTGTTTTCAAGGAGGCTACTGATCATTGTCCAGCAACGCTTCCAGATGTTTTTTTTTTTTTTGTTGTTGTTTTTTTTTGAAGGGGGGGCACTTAATCGTCTTTGAGATTGGCACGGCACTCCCTCACTTCCCCGCACACATTTCCACGTTCACGTTGCTTCACTCATTGTGGAGCATCAGTCACGTTTTTTTTTTTGTTTTGTTTTGTTTTTTTTTTAGTCATCACCTGCAGGTATTTCTCTTTTTACATTTGTTGAGGATGACGATAGCATAGAATCTTGATCTCAAAATGGATTATCCCTCCCACTGCAGCTTTACATGAGCTGCATCCAGAGGAAAAAAAGTTTGTCACATTTTGTTTACAGAACATCTTCAAAAGAGCCTTGCCCGTCAATCGTCGCAAGGCAAACACTGACTTTTTCGTGGCAAATGCCGGATGACCACTCTTGGTGTTTCTGTTTCAATCTGGTGAAGAGGGTTGCAGCCCCTCATGTTTGCGGGCGTGACCGCGTTTCTCTTTAACTTTGGCTTGATGACTTTCCTGGAGAGAGTTTTTGGGAGATGATACAAGAAGCATGTTGTCAAGGCCGTTCCCATTTGTGTTGGAGGGTTTTTGAATATTTTGCACACAAGGAAAGGAACCAAATGTTACAAACAACAACCCCACTTATTTGATGCGGTCTTAAGAAGGGAAATGCAATATGTGTGTGTGTGTGTGTGTGTGTGTGTGTGTGTGTGTGTGTGTGTGTGTGTGTGTGTGTGTGTGTGTGTGTGTTCAAGTAAGAAAAGTGCGCGTGACGTGCAGTACTTCTGTAAAACAAATTTCAAGCAATTAACGTCATCCTCTTTGACCTATTTTAACCCGTGCAAAAGGTTTCCATCACAATATGTTTGTGTAGATATCAGATTATATTCACATTTATATTTTTACATTGGATTTTAGTCATGAATTGTTGTATTTGGGAAAAAAAAGGACATAAAAAATAAGTCACCCGTGAGACTGAATGACGGACGGTGCTGTGGTAAATGAAGAATAACTATGCTTGAATCTCTAAAATGCTTACGCTGATGTGCTTTTAAAAAGTCATTAAAAATTGCATGTCAAAGGACTAAGTTTCCTTTTCTTTCTAGTCAGTGTTGTTGACCGTTGAAGTTAATTTTTGTGTCCCTCCACTTTGACGTGTGAGCTGTTGTGCATCACATCATACCCCGCCGCGCTTTGACTCTTTTTCATTGTTGCACTGTGCAAGATGTGTGCCTTTATACTCCGGAAATTATTTAATTTTATACTTTGTATTTTTTTTTCTTTTTTTTTTAATAAATGTCAAATGTTATTTGGATAATCGGGTTTTTACTTTGCCATGTATTCCAGCCGTGTATCCCCCACCCCACCCCATCCCAATTGCCCGTGTTGAGACTTTTATGTTTTGAATTGTAAAACCATTTGAATGGTGGTTTCAAGCCAACTAAAACAAACTGTTCACATTCGGGTCGGCGATTGAGTGGTATTCACCCTTGGCCCTCGTCTCCCTTCAATGCTTGCCCTGCCTGTTTAGCCTGTGCGCATGCGTGCGGATGTGCTTCCTTCCACCTGGCCGCGTCGCCCTTCTCAGGAGGCCGCCGGCCGTCATCACGTGGATCTTTGTTGTGTGTGTGTGTTGTGTTGCACTATGTGGAGACGTGTGTACAAATTTTACGTTTTAAAAACCCTCCCATCAGCTTGTTATCCATCGGAATGTTTTTTTAAATGGCGCAGAAAGGGAGAATGGCGGGCGTGTTTCCTTTTAAACACGAGCGACTTGAGTGGAGACTGCAATGCCTGCTGGGAGATTTTTTTTTTGTTTTTGTACTTACCGTGATCAGAATGAGGGCGATGCGCTCGACTTCTGCAGAGTGCTGCTGCGCCTTGCAGTGCTGTTTTTTTTTTGGTTTTTTTTTTTTTTGCCTGTGAATGCGCTCTTGCTGCCCCTGACAGCTTACCGCGCGCATTTTCCAACAAACCGAATGGCACGGTAAAGTTTCAAATACCTCTTCCGTTTGGCCGCGTATACAGAAGATGAGAGGGAAGGAGACGCTTCGTGCGTTTCTTAAACCTTCAATGTTGCAAATGACTTGAGGTCAGGCAAGAGAGAGACTGGAAATAATCTTCAAATTTTGGACGACTGAAAGCGCGGGTGCCCAAAAATATTCAACCAACTTCATGAACCAGAAAAGCAAGCCCAGGCAATACACTTTAACTTGTGTGAGCATTGCGCGCCTATGTAATTGTATGTACGTGTGATTGGTGCTGTCTATGGTTTGTCAAAGTTCAGTGGCATCATGCCCTCTAAAAAGATGTTTATTGTTCTTAACGTTTAATGATGATCATACACTCCGCATTCCGTAAGCATTCATTGCAATCAATTAAAGCACTCGTTCTGCTTGACTAAAAATGTGTAGATTCTTTTTCTGATTCATGATGATTTCACTTTGAACACGTGAGAATAAAACAACATCAATATTTGTCTGGTGCCTTCACTTGGCTCCCTCTACATTTTAGAGTTCTTTTTAAGATCCAATGATTTGTTTTGAAATGTTGAAATGGCCTGGCTCCACCTTCCCTTCCCTCTCGGAGCTCCTCCGCCTCTACACACCTGCCCGGCGCCTCGGGTCTGCGGACCAGACATTATGAGAGAGGTACCGAGAACTAAGCGGAGGCTCGGAGCCGTCTCTTTGGAATGACCTCCCGCTGATCATTCGGCAAGGCCCCTCGCTGCCCATCTTCAAAACTCGTCTCAAAACTCTCTTGTATTCTTTGGCTTTTGACTCAAGACTTGATCTTATTTATTTTTTTTTTTTACTAGTTTTGTGCTGTCTACTGACTTGGTTATTCATTTATTGTTTATTGTATAGATGATATTTGCTCCACGGACAGCACTTTGTATACCGCGTTGATTGTTTTCAAGTGCTCTAGAAATACAGCTGAGTTGAGTTGGTGCGCGTTTATCATTCAGCCGAATTTCATCCAGAGGAGAAACAAATCCGTTCGAAAATACATTTTTGAGTATTGATATATTTGTCCTCGTTGAATTCGACTTGATGATATCCGTTACCTCCTGTTCTGCGGTCAGGGCCACGCTGGAAGAAAATGTTTTCACGTCCTTGAATAACATCTAGTAATGACTGTAAAATGCTAAAAAAAAAAAAAAAAAAGGACTAAAGTCTTTTGGCCTTTTAGATATTTGTAATAGTTTCTGCTATTTGACTAATCTTTAAATGTTCGTTCACCAAATGGTTGGTCGCCAATGCGAGTGTTGAGTAGCGCGTAATTTAACCCCGGCTGGGAATGTTGCCCGCATGCTCATCAGGTTATCCTTTTCGAAAAAAAAAGCGGTTCTTTATCAACTCGATGAAATCAAAAAGATTTTTCGTTCTCTGGCGAGACACGACGTCAAGAAAGGCGGCCGTCGTCGGTGAAGGATTGGAGTCAACTTGCGGTGAGTAACTGTTGTTCGTGACAGCTTCAATGCGCCCCTTTCTGTTGTTGTTTATTCAACGCTCTTATGGATCTCGACATAACTCGTGTTTGACATTTATGTTCGTACCTTTTCAGTGCCTGCACCTGATGAACGGCAGCGATCTCTTCTGAAACGGCGACTCCCTTTGACGGGTGAGTAAGCATCAAACAAACCCAAAGTAGCCCAATTCACAATTTGCCTCGTGGGTATTGAGCCGCGTGAGCGTATAATGTGATAGACGTTTAATTGTATTTGGCCGACCGTATTCCATTTAGCCAGATGAAAAGACGAATCTCGTCTTTTCGTGCCCGTTGTCTCTTTCAAACTTTTCTGCTTTGCATGCTTCGTTGAGTCAAATGCAGAAGTTACAAAATACATGCTTGCTTGGTCATGTGGATTTTTGGGGGGAGGAGATGCAGTTCTGCCGTGCAAAAAAAATAAAATAAAATACTCGTTAGACTTTACTGGTACGATTTTACTCGTTTCGTCTCTCAAACAGCCGACTGGAAGAGCGCGCAACGGATTCCGCATTATGAACTGCCTGAATCGTGTTTTAGATGTGATTGAGCGAAATGTAAAATGTTTACCCGATACAATATCGTAGTTATTGATATCATTAGTATTTTATATTGTGGATAGATTTTTTTTTGTTTCTCCACACCGCCAGCCACCGATAAATATTATTATTCTTATTATACTAGCCAACTAAAACTATTATAATAAGAAATATTTCTTATTACAATAAGAATAATAATACATTTATTTTGAAAGCGCTTTTCATCGTACTCAAACACTTTACAAGAGTTTAAAACACGGGATAAAAATGTACACTTTAAAGCCAAGCATACATGATTTAAAATAAACACATTTAGAAGAAGAAAAACGAAGCAAAAAACGGGTCAAAGGGATTAAAAGGTGTTAAAAGCATTGCGGAACCGTTGAGTTTTAAGAAATGATTTGAAGGATTGGAGGTCAGTACAGTTGCGAATGTGTTGTGGTCCAGAGTTCCGCAGGGTGGGGGCGGCGACGGAGAAGGCTGGGTCCGAAATGAGGCGCGCGCAACACCAGAATGCATTCTTTATTTTGACGTAAAGCGGATCTGTAGGATGTTCGTGATCATTTAGAAAGTACCCTACTGACCTTAGTTTTTTAAGTATACGCGCTGAAATCTGGTTCGAGTCAAACGGTGGAAAATATTTGAAGACGGCTTGATAGCGTTGCTCTTGATATGGTTGGTATCCAGTGTAGCTGTGCTTTTTTTTTTCGTCATGCTTCAAGACTGTAACACTACGAAACGGGTGAAAACGGTATTTATCCAAGTGTGGGAAACATAATAAAAGTGGCGGTCTAGTGGTAAATGTAATTATGAAAAAAATCATAAAACTAGAGTTTGCATTCTTTAAATGCTGTCTGGGCGTCCGGACGAGTTTTAGAAGTTGATGAAAATGTTCAAATGAGTCCACTTGAGTTTGTTTGACCCCACGTCTGGCTTACACTGCACGCGCAAGTGTCACTTTACCACTACTGTATATTTACTGTGTCAATCAACCAAATAAACAGACCTAACAAGAAAAGGACAGCATAAACTCCCCCCATAAATCTGATCAGTGAATTTAAAAAATGAAACTGCGCAGGGAGCCACACTGTGACCGCGCCTTTCTCCATAGATCATGTGTCATGCCGATCATTTTGCCGTTTGACTACGCTAGTGTTCGCATTTTTGTTGAACGTCACTAAATCCGTCTAGTGTTGTATATCATTCGTGATATATCAGCATTTATAGTCCCAAGTGTTATCCGCAGTCTGATCGTTTTTAGTTTATTGTTACGATTGTAGTAGTTATTCTATCCATGACGTTTATTACTAATTCCATATTTTATCCATCTTGTTATTTTATCATTGTCCCTAAATGACCATCTGATTGCTATTGGACAGATTCATTGCAAGCAACCGTATTAGCGACACGCTGAAGGGAGCCAACCGGTGGTTGTCCATCGCACCTTGAAAGAGAGAATGCTAAACGGATGAGGATTGAAACGCATCTTGTTTAAAGAGGAGGTGGAGGGAGATGCCAGCTGCTCGGCTCCGTCGGCCAAGGCGACAAAACTGTGAGAAGCGAGCGTGCGTGTGGGTGCGAGACAATCGACAAAGAGCAGTTTGCCATGTGCGCTGCAGCTGCTCCGCACGCGCACGCGCGCGGCCTCAAAAACACCAAAATAGCGGCGGCAGCAGCTGAGGCGCAGTGCGCGGTCGCGGCCGCCAGGGGGCACTGCGTAGCTTAGTCCCTCACGTGAAAGAAAGACGCCTTCACAAACGTAAACCTTCGCAATATGACGCTGTTAAAAAAAAAAAAGAAAAAAAATGCCCTTCCGTCGTTCACTGAACGGGGACAATGAATTGATGTTAACGCAGTCTTTTATTTCATGTTAGTTCGCATTTATCCTTCTCCTAAAGGTACAAGTTTCAATCGTGTGCATGCAGTCTTAGTGTTTTATGATGGCCTAGTCTACACTGTTTCATTATCAATCATCAAACATCCAGCGACATCGTGAATGTTTGAGGCATATTTGAAGCGCGCCGTGTTGCAGGGACGAGTCATGGGGGTGGCCAGCTGCTCTCAAGATATCTTAAAGTTCTCTAAGCGCTCCAACAACACTTCTGAGTAGCCCGGAGAGTAGTACCTGAAAGAGCAAACACAAACCAGCATTATTTTCAACATAATTTTTGCGACATGAATGTGTGTGGACGCACGTGGAACTACTTTCGCCATCGTTTCTTCATCCTTCAACTTAAATGCTGTTTTTTGTGACCATTTAGGTGTGCAGCTCCTTTAAACTCATTCAGTCAACAAAATTGATTTTCATCCACTTTGCAGTGCTAGTGAAGACCCCGATTTTCCCGGAATGGTTGGGATCGAACTAACGCAAAGATTTTCTGCCTCATAGGGTAGTACGAGATATGTCAAACCAGCGATGCCAGGACAAGGCGTGAAGTTCAACCCACTTCCTCTGCCTGGTTGCAAGGAATAATGACAATTGTCACTTGCTACTAGTCTCCTTACTGGGAATTGAAGGATAGCGGCAACATCACGATGCGCCGTCGTTATGTCACCAGATTAAAAGCACCCCATCTGTGAACGAGGCCAGGCCAGGTTATTTTTCTTTTGTGCACTTCCAGCAAACTCTGCTGGTTAGTTTATTGCTGCGGTTTAATTTGAATTTGGAATGTTGTAGCCACCTATGGTTCAGACGCACGCTAATCGCCAGATCAAGGGGGAAGTAACACATTTGAGTTCCTCCACAAAGTGACTCGATTCACAACGTGTGTGTATGTGTGCGTGTGTGTGTGCCCGCGCATTAACAAGTGAGAAGTGTTATTAGCGTTACCATCTGAATACAGCATTGTGAACTACATGGACCAGAATGCCAATTGAAGCACAAAATAACTTTTGTTGGGGGGGTGGGGGGTCACTGCTGTTATGTACAAAAACATAATATATATACAATATTGTGACTTTCTATATAGTATCGTGAGCATTTTTTTCTATTTATACAGACACCGACACCAATGCATCAAATTTCAAACCTGATTACGAGTAATTTTACGCTATCTCTGAGGGAGAGAGGCTTAGCAAGTTTGTCAGTTTTTTTTTTTTTTTTTTTAAACGTATTGTGTCCATTGTTGCGCAACCTTATCTCAAAGTTGTTGCACTGGTCTTCCCGAGAGTGTGTTCCTGTACAGATATGGCTCAGAGGACAAGTTGGAGGTCTCATACAGACTGAGGTCTAAAGCGCGTGTACCTGACTATCTCCTCCGGGAAGCAGCTGTTGATCGAATTGATGTGTTCCTGAAGGACGGAGCCCGGCTCCGCCTGGATCTCTTGCACTTTCTTTAAGCCTCCGCTGGTCACAAACTGACGGCGAGCCTGACTGTCATGAGGTAATACCTGTAGGATGAGACGAGTAGCGAAATCACATTTGGGATGGCGACATTGCCCATTTTTAGGTTGTTTTGAGCGGCCCACCTTGCTGAACTGGCAGACAACGTGTTTGATGATGTTGCTCGGCGCATCGTAGAGGAGGGACTCCAGCGCAGGTAGGAAGGTACACTTCTGTAGGATCATCTTCAGAGCCTTCTTACTCTACACCAAAAGGTTGTTGTGGATTTAAATCTTCAATCAAACAGTGCATCGAAGCATGGCATACGTTCCTGTTCAAGAGCGTACTTTGGTCTGCAGGTCCTCCGAGCTGTTGGCGTCCATGTAGAGTTGGAGCAGTTTGGGCAGCAGGTTGGCAGTGGCGACAGCCTTGGCGTGCACGGGGGTGTGATGTCCTATCTGGCCTATGCACCAAGCGGTGACGGCCTTGATGTGATGCTGCGTCTCCTCTGATAGACACAGAGCCAGCTGGAGCAGACCCTGCGAGGACGGCAGGAATCGAAGCGTGAAGCCCCGTCCGCACCGCAGGGCGCGGCGCGCTGTCGACGAACCCCTGCATTGTGTGTGCGGCAGGACGCCTCAAAATGTAAAGTTGTTTTCGAGAGGGGCGGCGCCAGGATGTCCAAAAAAAAATACAATTGGTTCATGAAGCTAATTTGAAACTTCAACACAAGTCTCCCTTTTTGCTTCTAGGTCGACTGCTTCATCACCGTTTCCAAATACGTTGAACGAGCCGCAGTGCGAAAAGGGCTTCAGACGGCTTCTTCGCAACAGGGTACGGGAGCCAAAGCAAAAAAAGCGAGCCACTTACTTGGGAGAGAATGACAGCCATGGCCAACTTCTCACTGTGCGCTGCCACATATCCCAACATCATGATCCCGGGCAACCTCAGGCTTCCCCGGCACTCGCCGAGGTAGGTGATCACTTCGGACGTGCCGCCACAATCGACTATTACCTGGGACAGCTGCAAAAACGATGACACGCGTCTTACTCGGTGTGTGCGATCTTGTGTCGCTGCTCGAGCGCCTGTGTGCACTAACTACCTCGGGCGTGTGTTTGACCACCTCTCTCATCAGAATGGTGACATTATTTTTCACGCATTCGTCCGGATCCCGGAGGCACATTATGGCTGCGGGGAAGACGTCGGCCTCGATCACCATCTCCGCCAGGCACACCGAGTGTTTGCTGATCTGACCGAGAGCAGAGAATACCTGCCTCTGTGTGGAGACAAGCACGGTTGTTGCTTCCTGAGAAAGACCGCTCGGATTAACCTCAAGCATCTCAGTCCACCGGAAGACAGCCTCTCACTCATTTCTTTGAAAACCCCAAACAAAACCAAAAAAAAAAAACAGTCCCCGGAGAACGAGGGCTCGGCAGAGCCCGGTACGCACTGCAGACACGGATCAGGATCTCTCCGTGAACTTCCGTCATTCACCGTCAGTGTGCCGGCGAAAACGGGGACTCCATCGGCGATGGACTGACAGACCACCTATGTCGATTAAAAACTCCTCCGTGGTCCTTACCCTCAGTTTGGTGTCCGGGTTGAGGATCATCTGAGCCAGATGTGCAATGGCGCCGGCTTCCACCACAATTTGGGCCAATTCTGGCGTGTGTTTGGCGATGTCACTGAGCACCGAAGCCGCGGTGCGTTTCAGGGCGATTTCGGGCTCCAAGAGGCACAACACCAGCATGGGGACTGCACCCGCATCCACAATGGACTGGGACAAGGCTACGAAAGAGAAAAAAAAAAAAAGTCCACACGCACAGATGGGGAAATGTGAAAGTGATCTGCAAGGCCGGCAACTTGAATACAAAGAAAGCACGTCGCTCTCACCGTCGTTATGGTGCGCGATGAAACCCAGAGCCAAGGCGGCAGCTTCCTTCACACCGGGGTCGAAGTCCTCGAGACAGAGAACCAGCGCGTCCACGCCTCCGCTGGCCACCACCGCCTGAGCGAGCTCCGGGGAGTGCTTGGACACGGCGCGCAGCACGAACGCCGCCGCTTTCTTATACAACCGCTGGATATCCACACGTGAGAGAAGGCTTTCAACACAGAATGATTTGGTCTTGTTTCTTCTATTCTGTTTCATTGCGATGCCGAGAAGTATTCATTTCACAGGATGCTTTGTTTGTTGTTGTAGTTTGTAGTAGTTTTACTTTTGTGTTCCTTTATTCAACGTGAGAGGTCAAAATGACAATGTTCAGAGAGTTTTACACCATTGCTCAATGTGTCAGAACTTTTAAGTGAGGTTAAGGTTCTGGAGTACAGTCAGACCTTTTGTGTGTCTCTCAATGGACAGTTTATCAATCTCGTTAAAGGGTTCATCGGTCACCGGGCTCCGCCACCGCTCTGACGAATGCACTCACGTTCTGTATGGTGAGCGAGCGGATGAGCTGGGGCAGGATGTCCTCCTTCACCAAATTGTCGGCCAGGTCAGCGTTGTGGACCGCCAGGCGGCCCAGGGCCAAGGCGGCCTTTTGCTGGATGCCGGGAACCACATCCAGCATCAGGGGCCTCAGCATCGACATGACACCTGCGGGGAGGGGGGGGGGGCCGATGACGCACCATCGAGACAGAAGTTGCAAATCAACGGACGGCCCCCCCCCCTCCCTCTCCCCCTCCCTCTCCCTCTCCCTCCTACCTGCTCTTTGGAGGATTTCGATGTTTTGTGGCCGGTCCGCCAGATCAGCAACCGTTTGCACAAATTGCATTCTCGATTTGTTGTACTGCTCAAAGACTGCGCGGCACAACAACGCGAATCAGACGCACATCTCGCTCGCGCGAGTGAAAAAAAATCAACTCACCTTGGACGATCTGCCTTTGAGTCATCGTGCCAGCCGCCAAATGGAACGGTTTCAAGAAACGTATTCAAACCTGCACATGGAAGTGCGAGTAACGTTATTTAGCCGCTCCACGTCATCGCTTTTATTTTTCCGCTGAATTTTGGCTTCTGGTTTGAAAACGGTGACGAAGACGACGCCGAACCTCAAGAAGTCCCGAGGTTCTTTGCGTCACCGCATTCCGCATTTTGTGACAAAGAGAGAGGCCGACGCGCGTCAACCGAACGACTGCGTTTTTTGTCGAGCGTGAATCCATTGTGTGCATTGGTTGCTTTCCGAGCTTAGCGGAAAACCCTGCACGCGAAGCCAACCTCGCGGAGCTCACGAAACTCACCGACGACTTCTCCCGAGGATCTTTTGACAGACAGTTGAATTGGAAGTGAGTCTGCGCGCGGAGAAGTCTGTGTTGACAAGTGTCACCGTGGCAACACCACCGCCGCCGCCTCCACACTTGGCCGAGATCGTCTATTTAGACAAAGTCGTCACTCCTGTTCTGAAGTGACAACTTTTGCCTGAAACGTGAACTGAAGGCGTGGTTATGGTTTGCTCTTTTGTTTTGGGGTTAACAACGATTCAAAACAACGAAACTGACACCCAAAAATGTTGTCCTTTGTGTGATCACCACGCTAAAAAGAGACACGACTGACTAAATGGTTCACGTTTTTATCTTAGGAAAAATGAGGACATCTTTAAATACGGCAAACGAACCAGGTCACCGTGAACGGTCCCGACATACGACGACTATGGGTTCGACCGACGCACCTCGAGAAAGCCGTTCGGCCTTTTTACTGATTTTACTTTGTCATGTATTCACTGCCTGAAAGTGTTCATACAAATATTTACGGTACGACGGTAAAAAACCAATTGCATCAATGCTTTTGTTTTGTTTTTTTTAATGTACCTTTGAACACCCTCATACGCCCGCGCGCGCGCGCGTGTGTGTGCGTGTGTGCGTGTGTGTGTGCGGGCATGCGAGCTTTTGAAACTCAATGATGATCTATTTTTAAGGCACAGCTTTGCAAGCGCACAAGGGCGCCCTGTCTACCCGCAGTGCTAAATTATCGGGCAGCACCACAAAAGAATGCCGGCCAAAGAGCAAATGTCACCCGCGGAACCACGTGACCATCAACCCACGGTACTTGGTGTGATATGTTGACGTTGATCATGATCACAAAAAAAAAAACGTATCGGCTCAGTTCAACAAATTGAACAAATGGATGTGTTTTTTTTGTGTGTGTGTCATTTTAGAGCCAATCGCAACAGGAACGCTGCAAGGAAAGACCACTCGACGTGAAGAGAAAACCGTACCACGCGAATGTTTTGCTCTTGCTAAATTTATGGCTTTAATTCGATAGAACCTTGTTTGTTCACGACAATCAAAACGAGTTCGTCTGTCACTGCAACTGACAGTAATTGTGCTCTGATACGCGTGTGGAAGGGGGAACTGGCACATTTATAAAACGGCACAAGAAAAAAAGAAAATTTCGATTTAGTCATCTTGAATTCAATAATTATCTTGATTGCTGTAATTTTCTTGAACGAAGTGATTGCAAAACGGAAGTGATCTCATGAAATATGAATGCTTGCTTTAAGTGAACAAATTTTATTCCGCAAAAAGCCGCTGTGTTGCTTTATACCTATTGATTCGTCCGAGGCAACGAAAAACGTGCTCATTCTCCATGCGTGCGTTTTAATCAATATTTTATTGTAAAGGAATATCGAATACATGCACTTAACTGACAAAATTAAAACTGTCATTGTACTAAAATTCCACCGCATGAATTGAAATGTCAGTCGAAAAAGCAAATGACAAAATACATGTTCGGTGCATGCAAAAAAAAATTCAAGGTCAAGGTTGATCATGGCTTGCGTGTAAAAGTTTTTATTTATTTAGATGTTTTATACTGTGCAACAGTAACAATACAATAAGTTGTCCATACAATCGAGCGAATCAACAGAAAAACGGAAAACACAGGTGACATGACGTCATGAGCGTGAAATGTCGCAGAACCGGAAAATGTTTTCCATTAAAAAAAAAAACATTGCCGTTAATTGAAAAGGCATTACTGTATATTTCTATGTACACGTGGCTTCTGGAAAACAAAATGCGTAGTTTTCCTCCAAATGAGACGTGGGCTGAGGAAGCTCCAGATGTCATGAACGTTTTGTGAAAATGGGGCGAAAAGAATGACTTGTTTTGTTCCTGTAAAAAAAAAAAACAATCCTGTGTTATGACAAAAGGAGTAAATGCGGTTCTTTCTCTCTGACCCCCAAATACTTTATAATAGAATTCCCACGCAATTTCCCGTTTCTTTTATTGTGAAATGCACTACAGAAAGGACACAACCATAAACGTCAGACCGGAGAGCGAAAGACACTACAATGGATCAATGTTGGCCTGGTAACGGGGTGAGCTGAGCGTGTCTCGCGTTGGCCGGCCCGGTCCACTCGGTGTTGTCATCCCGACGAGGTCGCCGAGCCGTTGAGCGAAACCTTCCGGGGCTTGCCGAGCTGTGCGAAAGGGCGGCTGGGAGTCGAGAGGGCCACCGCCGGGGTCCCATTCACGTTGTTGCCGAGGGGGCCGTGAGGGGGAGGCAGCGAGGACTGCGCCGCGTCGCCCGGGCTCGGCAGAGAAGAGGACGTGGACGGGGCTCCCACGGGACTTCCGGCTTTGTCGCTGGCCGAGTCGCTCTCCTGCTGGCTGTGGCTCACCTTCAGCTTCTTGCAGTTCGGCCGGACTCGGTACTGGAGCGGAAGTGGGCCCGTCTGTGGACGTCCCAAAACGGGAAAAAAAAAATCAACCTCATTGTGATGTCATAGCCACAGCTTTTATGAAATTCGGCATTGAGGGGCATTGAGGGGCGAAAGAAAATGACAAAACAATAATCATGATGGCGTTTTAGAAAGAAGATTCAGTTTTATTCGCCCGCTTGACCTTGCAGGGAGGATTCAAATGACTTATGTCACGACAGAGATGGGAAGCTGTGCCACAAAAGTCAAACATCAGAAGTCATTTTTAATAATTGAGTTTAGGGAATATTTTAAATGTATTTTTCTTTTTTTGTACAAATAAAAAGATGTTGTGTCCCCCTTCTCCGTTAACTATACTAAGGGTGAATGAACTGTGACATATTTTGAATCAGGCAATGCTCTAAATTAGACGTCTCAAAGCTTTTGACACCAAGTACTCTGTAAAAAAAATAAATGAAAATCTTAGCTCTCCATGTACCGCCATCCTGACTTGCATGAAAATACAATATTGTAGTAGAACTCAGGCATTTCTAACGAAAAAAGATGACCATGTATAGTAAGGCGTTTTTAGCCGAAAAAACGACCATGTATGGAAAGGCGTTTTTAGCCGAAAAAAACAACCATGTATAGTAAGCGTTTTTGGCCGAAAAAATTGACCATGCATAGTAAGGCGTTTATCGAAAAAAAAACGACCATGTAAAGTAAGGCGTTTTTATCGAAAAACAACGACCGTATAGTAAGGCGTTTTTGGCTGAAAAAAACGACATAGTAAGGCGTTTTTAGCGAGAAAAAACGACATAGTATAGTAAGGCGTTTTTTTGCCGAAAAAACGACCATGTATAGTAAGCGTTTTTAGCCGAAAAAATTGACCATGCAGAGTAAGACGTTTTTTATCCAAAAAAAAAAAAAAAAAAAAACGACCATGTATAGTAAGGCGTTTTTAGCCGAAAAAACGACCAGGTATATCGAAAGGCGTTTTTAAACGAAAAAATAACCATGTATAGAAAGGCGTTTTTAGCCGAAAAAACGACCATGTACAGTCAGGTGTTTTTAACTGAAAAAACGACCATGTATAGGAAGGCGTTTTTAGCCGGAAAAATGACCATGTATAGAAAGCGTTTTAAAACGAAAAAACAAAAATGGAGAGGAAGGTGTTTTTAACTGAAAAAACGACCATGTATATTAAGCGTTTTTAACCAAAAAAATGACCATGTATAGGAAGGCGTATTTAGCCGAAAAAAACGGCCATGGATAAGAAGAAGTTTTTAACCGAAAAAAAGACCATGTATACTAAGGCATTTTTAACCGAAAAAAAAAGACCATGTATATATAGGAAGGCGTTTTTAACCGAAAAAAACGACCATGTAAAGGAAGGCATTTTTAGCCGAAAAAAACGACATAGGATAGTCAGGCGTTTTTAGCACGAAAAAAACGACATAGTATAGTCAGGTGTTTTTAGAAAAGACGACATAGTAGAGCAAGGCGTTTTTAGCCGAAAAAAACGACATAGTATAGCAAGGCGTTTTAGCCGAAAAAAACGACATAGTATAGTAAGGCGTTTTTGGCAAGAAAAAAACGACATAGTATAGCAAGGCGTTTTTAGCCGAAAAAAACGACATAGTATAGCAAGGCGTTTTAGCCGAAAAAAACGACATAGTATAGTAAGGCGTTTTTAGCACGAAAAAAACGACATAGTATAGTAAGGCGTTTTTAGCACGAAAAAAACGACATAGTATAGTAAGGCGTTTTTGGCACGAAAAAAACTACATAGTATAGTAAGGCGTTTTTAGCCGAAAAAAACTACATTAGTATAGTAAGGCGTTTTT